TTCGCAGTGTTGAACCACATCCTCTTATTTTTATTTTTTCAAACTACATATAAATCTTAATTATGCTGTTTTCAATTCTTCAGACACAAATTCCTGGGCAGTTACAAGAAGGTTTTTGCTCCGACATCAAAAAGCCTTTGTTCCCAATAAGAATTAATTCCTTGGACAGTTCCTTGGTTTTAAATAAAACCACTGTTTTTTTGGATATGTCTTGGCAACAGACAGCATACCAGGCTTCTCCAAATGGGGCTGTCCAGCCTAAATGCTGCTGCTTAACACGGGGTTGGTGCAGCATAAAAGCACATACTTCTATTTCCATACAGTAGTTTTTGACTCCTCTGTTGAAAGATGTAATGAGATGAAGTCTGGTTATTGCTCCAGCACTGAATGCGAGTCTTTGTTCAGAGGAAGCAAGGCACAGCCCTCTGCTATCAGATAGTGGTGAGGGCAGGCTTCAGAGAAGTGGCATTTGGAAGCTGTTATCGTGTCTTTGTAATGGGTGGAGGGATGGTTATTTTGAGCCAAGTGAGAGATAACAGATCTTGCAGTGTTTTCCAGGCCAATAATCCACATTTCCAGTGCATTTAAGCAAGTTACTCTACTACAAATTGTACACAAAATGCTATGCTGCAGTTTCTGCCTCCTTCATTTTAGTTTCAGATGCTATAGCTAAGCTTCCCCTTTAGAGGAGTCCTGCAAATGAGTTATGGTTTTAAGATTAAAAAGGGTTAAGGAACTAATAGTTGGTTTTCATCTTTAATTGCTATCTTCAGATTAATTGCATTTGCTGTTCAGGTTTTTTTTTTCTTGGTTTCTTTGCACATAGAAGAGAACAACTGCTACCCATCCCTGGAGGTGTTCCAGACCAGCTTGGATGGAGCCCTGGGCAACCTGGGCCAGTAGCAGATCTGGAGGTTGGTCCCCCCTGTGGCAGGGGGTTGGAACTTGATGATCCTGGGGGTTCCTTCCAACCCAAAGCCATTCTGTGACTCACGACCTGCCTGACATGTTGATATTAATTACTCTCTGCAGGACATGGCTCTTCCAATGAGGGCAGGTGTGTCTGTAGCACTGGCTGCATTGCCACCTTCCTCCAAATGGCTGTTGGTGTTACGAGCTGAAGGGAGTGAGCCTGACAGTGTTTCACTGAAATATTTGCCAAAACTATCTGTATAATTGTGCTTTGCCTGGTTTTTCACCCCATGCATGACACTGAGGCTTCTTACTGTTCAGGAACGTGCTGTGATTAATGCAGTGCCTTCGTACGATTGGAGGAGTGACAAAACCAAACCTGCTCTTCCCATCCTAACCCCACGCTGTGCTGGCCTGTATCAAACTCTGCCTTCAGAAACTCACTGCTGGCCTTCACGTGGGGCCCTGGCAATGCTGGAAAGCCCCAGCTGCCTCCAGGGCTTCCTTTGCAGCCCTTGTTGCTGGCGATGACTGCTGGGTGATGTTCCTGCACCGAGCAGCGTGTCCCAACATCCAGCCCTCCATCCCAGTTGCACAATGCTGGTGGAGCTCCTCCCGCTCTGTTTTGGGGATCTGCCTTCTGCCCTCCAGCATGAAAATTGCTTCTCCTTATCTCTCCCTGCATAACTCTGCCTGCTGTCACCGGCCATAAAGTTATCAGCTGCCCTCTTCAAACCAGCGCCAGGTTTTGCTGCTCTGCCCTTCCCTGCCAGTGCAGTGCAAGGGCTGGAGAAAATAATTCTTAAACTTGCTTTTTGTTTAACAAACTCCTTCACAAGAATGAAATAATGCCGTACGTTGCCTGTAGTGATCATTAAAACCACCCAGTATCTCTTACCTGGATCATGATTTCTTTCTCTGTCTCTTTCCTCAGAATAAATTTGTTGAGACTTCAATGCTGCTTTTCTTTCAGGGTAATAAAAGAACAATTACTGTTCTGAAGTGAATTTCAAAGGACAAAATCTCAGCAAGTTTAGCTTGAAGGGAAAAGATTTATGTTCAATATTCCTACAGATTCTGGGGCAGAAGTCCCTTATTTCTTCCCTTCTTGCTGCACCATCAGGTTTTTCTATACAGAATTTCTATTTTTTCATGTTATGACAATGTTTGTTATGTGCTGCTTCCTTTCTCTTTCAAGTCGAAAAGGGGTCAGATTAAATACACACGATGAAGAAGAGGCTAACTAGTTCAAATAGCTGTGGATGGACTGTTTCAGAGGGGTTGGCTTGAAGCAGCAGGAAGCATCAGTTGCAAACAGCAAAGCTCCCAGGGAAAATATGCCAGCAATTTGTCTTTTATAACCTTGCACATAACTGTTGGGTAGGAGTTCTTATGTACACTGGCCCTCTGTTCTTGTTTAATTCAGTCTAGCAAAGCGAGATGCTACAAATCTTGCTTTTCTTTGATGTTCGGTGGTGAAAGCATGTTCATTTGGCTTATAGACGCTGTCTGTTGGGATGGGAAAGCTTTCATGGGAAGCAGGGGGAGAGAAGAAGCTGCAGTGGCTGTTTCTGCTGTGACTGTTGTGTTATTTGAGGAGAAGGGAGCTGTGTTGCTTCTCCCTCTTCTTGTGCTCTTGGCTTTTGAATTAGCTGTCTGTGCTCTCCAAAGAAAGGCTGCTCTGATGCCCGCCCACCTTTCTGTTGGGCACTTGCTGCTGGTCAGACTGCTTTTGTCCAGAGCTGAGTGGCACTTTATGGAAAAATACAGACTTGCATTTATATAATGTCTGTTTGTCCCCAAAAAACCCAGGACATCTAGAAATCCCACGTGGGAATCCCTGTGTGTATAAGCATGTGTGCATTCCTAAAAAGTGGAGCACAGCCATGAAACCAGAATTCCAAACAGCATTTAAAGACAGAAAGCGAGGCAGCCTGGTTGTAACCACAGGAGGAAACTTCAGAGAACAGAATGCAATCAGCTGAGCTGGAAATTGGCTGAGGTGCTGTGGTTTAAATCTCCTAACTCTGCCAGTGCTGAAGCATTGTCATTGTCTGTCCATAGGCTTTGATGCTTGAACTCCACCTGGGGAACGACACCTCCTGAGCACTGCAGCATCCCCAGCTAGGAAGCCTGAATGGTTTTATTGATGCACACCACTTCCTGCTGCACATGGGGGAGATTTGGAGCTCTCCCATCCAGCCCTGCTTTAGGGCTAGGAGTGATTTGGCAGGGTTTCTGCAGCAGGAGGCAAAGCTGCGGGGAGTTTGGTCTCCTTCGGGTTGGGCGCTGCACTTTAAGCTGACCTCTGCAAATCCTTGCAGAATTATTTGCTGCATCTAGCAGAATGGTTTCTTTTTAACTGAGCTGCATTCAACGTTAACCAGTTCTTCTCTCCAATTAATTTGTGACCTCGGCATCTGTCAATACATGCTAAATCTCAATGGAATACTCTGAACTCCTCCTGCGTATGTTTGTGTTTGACTTTGCCCTTCAACATTATACAAGTTTTTCTGCAAAAATATTGATGGAAGTTTCTACTTTCGGGCCTTTTCTGGGGCCTTTCGGTGTCTGAACTGAATATGCAGCTCAGCAGTCCGTTCTGATTATCTTGGCTCACAGCTCTGCTGTGGGGAGGGAGGGGAAACCTGGATGTTGGAGTAATTAATGGTGTAGGAGCAAAAGTCCAGTAACACACCCATAGCCCTCTGGATGACTGTGTTGTAGATTGCACGTTGCACACGTGGATCTCTGCAGGCGCTGGAGGGTACGGCCAGCATGACTTGGAGCCACCATGAGCACGCAGTGCCCTTGCAGTGTAGGAGCATCTGTGACCTGCGTTTATTTCAGGTCCTGCAGGGGATTCTCACAGCCTGCCAGCCTCGCCTGGATTATTTATAGCTACAGTATTTTAAAGAAAGTTACCGTCTGTGAGATAATTTCCGGCGTGGTGAACCACAGTCGTTTGTTTGTGCTGGATCCTGGCCAGGAAGCAATGCACCTCATCGTGACGGAGCCGAGAGGCGCTCGATGCGAGTCGCCTGACGTAGGAGCCCAAGTTCGTGTGTTTAATTTGCAGTGTTCTTCACCTGCTGAGCCTCTGAAGCCGGATGAATTTCTCCAAAGTCCTCTGAAAAAGTTTGTGCTGTTCTTGGGATAAAGCTCTCTAGAAGCAGTTAGAGATGTAAATGCAGTACATTTGAGAAGGCTCTGTTGCTACGTGTAAGACGTGGATTTTATCATCTGTTCTTACACACCACTGTTTGAATACATAAGATAATGTCGCTAAGGAGTGGTGTAATGTGACTTGATTTATCAATTCATTCAACAGCAGCAAAGCGCTTTCCTTGCTGCTCTATGCACCTTTTTACTTTTATTGGTTGGGAAGCAAATTCAGCTTCAGCTTTCTTGCCTTGTCAGGCCTTGAGGAAGCTCTGAGGTCAGCTCTGCTTTGCCAGGTGGAAGGAAAGTTCCAGGGACAAGGCAGTTCAGAAGCATGGGCTTCTGGACTTAATCCTCTTCATGCTGGAAATCCGATAAGCATTCAGATTAGCTTTATCTTTGGTAGGGATTAAATTTGCAGAGAATCTCAAGTTTTCATGCTGAGGTTCTTGTCTAGGAAGACCCATTTGTAGCAAACAGCCTGAATTGTTTGATACAGCACAGTGCCACTTGTGCTTATGACAGAATATTTATAGTGTTTTACCTGTGCTTGTGAGTGCTGTGTCATAGTTAGCCCTGTGAAATGCTAATAAAAAATGACAATTATCTGATTGATCCAAAGCCTCTGCCTGGGGTAATAGAGACCTCTGGGCAGCTGTCATGGGCCTTTATTCCTATAGGTAAAAGACTGACCTGGGCTGGTAAGAAGGATATTTCTGAAGCTTGCAGGAGCCAGTGATGAAATCTGGACATAGATACGCTGCACACAGTGTGCCATACATACAGGATAGCTTACTAACTTTAGAGCACTTTTCCAAAATCCTATTCTGCCTTGGACAGCTGATAAGGTACAAGATCTCAGAATCTGATTACCTCAAGGTTTCCTGATGTGTTTTTCAACTCTCTCCCATCTCCTTCCTTTCTAGCAATCTACAACTATGATGCTGTCCAAGATGTGGAGCTCTCCCTGCAGGTCGGTGACACTGTTCACATTTTGGAGATGTACGAAGGTAGGTTGTGAATCACTCCCTACTACTTCTCAGTAGTTCATAGAATCATAGAATGGTCTGGGTTGAAAAGGACCACAAAGATCATCTGGTTTCAACCCCCTGCTGTGTGCAGGTCACCAACCAGCAGCCCAGGCTGCCCAGAGCCACATCCCGCCTGGCCTTGAATGCCTGCAGGGATGGGGCATCCACAGCCTCCTTGGGCAACCTGTGCCAGTGCCTCACCACCCTCTGTGTTCTCGAAACTAAATATAACAACTCAGCATTTCTAGGGTGCAAACTTCAGATCAAGGTTTTGAACTTCTGATACATCTCCCATGCACAAAGCTTGGTGTGTGACGTTTGCTGGATGCGCTGAATTATTTTTTTTTTGTTAAAGAGTATTAAAATACACATCTCTGCTGTTCCTGGTAGAGGTTTGTCAAGGTAAGATTTCACCAGCAACTCAAGGCAGCACTGTTGGAGAAGGAAATGCTTTCCCTTCTGGCAGTTCATTCCTGGTTTTACACCACACCTGTTTATCTTAGCTCCTCCTTATGCTAGGCCCAGTGCCTAGTCATGTGATGAACCAATCCAGCTGAAACAAGAAAAAAAATAAGTAACTTTTAACCCCAATTAGTTCTTTGATCTGTCACAAAGGAGGTGGTAGATGAAAGAATGGAATGAAGCCATTTAATTAAAGAACAATCTAGTACCTACTTCATTTGGAATGTTGTGTCTGCGCTCCCCAAAGTCTAAATGCTCTTTCCAAAATAAAAATGTGCTCATTTTCATAAGCAGCATCGGTTTGGAAGAGACTCTTCGTACAAAATTTCTTCAGTATCACTGCTATGACGAGCTGCTTGTTGAGCAATTTGTTCTCTTTCCGTTTCTCTTTGTGACAATGGAAATGGGCAGCTGGTTCCCCTGTGGCACAGCAGACTATTTAGCTTTTAGACTGATATATGTCAAAGTGGGGAGTATTTTTGGAGCTGGAGGTGAATATCCTGCTTAATACAACTAACTTAGGAGCTGCTTTATCAGTAAAAACTGCTGTAATGAAAAGGATGCATCTTGCATGATCCAAAATGTTGGAGCATTTTATTTCTTTGTTTTGTATAGGGGGGCTGTTGCTCAGCCCTATTGCTTGGTCTGTAATAAGCTGTTCAACAGGAGTGACATTCAAGAATAGGAAATGAATAGATCCCTTTTTTACCTGAAACGTCCCACTTTGAAACTTCAGCCTGAGAGGACTGATGTGTAAATTGTTGGAGAAAGCAAATGCATCGGAGTTGCTTTCATATGCTGAGCCATCAGTGTGGCATCCTGGCTTGTGGCTGAGGACTTAGAAATTCCTGCAGAACTACTAGATACTTTTCCTGGAAACACAAGCCAAAAATTTGAGCCACACATTTATTTGTGGACCCAATAGAAAAAATACAGATTGTCTCTGAGATGGTGGCTCTGCTCTGGGACTGGTCTGATTTCCCATATAATTCATCTTAAAAACTTAGAACTCAGTCTGCTTGGAAGGAAGCTCTGCTGACTTACTGTCTCTTTTGCTTTGTTTCCAGATATTTGTAGGTTGTGTTTCTGAGAATTAGTGTTCTTAAAAGAATACTTCCCTATTTCTTCTTATGCTAATGATGTCTACTTAGAAACATAACTCCAGTGTAATAAAAGTGGGTTTTTGTTCCTGTAATCGCTGCTCTTATCTGGATACACAAGTCTCAATTAAAATAAAGTTCCCTTTAATCAAGATGTTGGCTTTGCAAGAAAGGCTCAGGGATGCCTCATTCAGTTCTTCTTTCGGGTGTAAGTTATCCCTGCAGCTCTTGGTGTGTTCTGCAGGGAATTAAGTGGGTCAGGGTTGTCCAAAGGCTCTTGTGTAATGGTAGCAGTGACTTGGAAAATCTTACTCCTTCCTATTGTTGCCTGTGTCAGACTGCACAGGAGCATCTTTGTGAGTTAGCAGAGGGCTGTTGTACTACAGTTCCCTTCCTGCTCTGTTGTCTAGAAAATTCTTCCATTTTTCCTCCTGGTTGAAGTCAGAATGTCTCTGTGTTCAGTGAAGGCTATCTGTGCGTGAAACAGCCTTCACTTGAAAGCTCTCTATCTTCTGCATCTGGGATTTTGGCTAGCTCTGGCCTTGGAGAATTGGATTTAAGAAGTCCAGAGTTTGTTTCTAACAGTGAGGCTGCAAGGTTGAGGCTCACGCTCAGTTTTGTGTTAACAAATGTTATCTGAATCCCAGCTGGCCAAATAGCTTCAAGACATAACAGTGCTGCAGCTCAGCTGCTGGAGGAGCTGGGTGAGAAGCTAACAGCAATGAAGTGAATTAAAGTCGTGGGTGTAGTTTGTGGTGCAGACCTCTGTGCCGAGTGAAACTGTGATGTTTTTCCTCCTTTCCCTGGATAGCCGTCTGGCTGCAGGAGGGCGAGAGATCTTCGTACAAAAATGACTTCTTCCACTTGGTAATAAGATAAATAGCACTTATCCTGCTGTTTGCTAAGTATTGCAAGATTGGGATCATTCTGCAGAGTCTGAGAGAAGGAAACTTGCTGCCCTCAGAGCTTTGAAGACTTTCTTCAGGGCAGACTTCACTTTCTCTGGAAGTTCGCCCTTGAGTGGTGGTGAGCGAAGGAGGGTACATTTCTGTTCAGAGTTGAATCTTCCCTAATCTGCAATATATATCCTTACTTTCATGCAAGTGGGAAATAGCCACATCATGGATAGAAGGAATGTGTGCCCACACGCTGTGATTCAGACCAGTCTCTTCTCCCTGATGCAAATAAGTTTGCATCGAATATGTTCCTGGTTTAGGTCTTTGTTCCTCTAACTGCAGTCAGCAAACAAAGCAAACCCATGTTTGTTCTCCAAGAGTGAGAACTCTGGATCCATGACTCTGAATTGAATCTTTGCTTAAATAAATGTATATATTTTTTAAAGGCATCTTCTTTGCCTGTTGTTCTCTTAAATCTCCTTGCCATTTTGATGCTTCCTGTGCCAGCTGACTGATCATAATCATCTTGGATCGGTGATGTCTATCTTGATAACTGAACACCATGATCTTTAACCTTCATGTTTTCCAAGAGGTAGGATTGGTGTTTTCAGTTTCCTAAGGCTCTACCTGCATTCAGAGGAATCAAAAAGGGTTGCTCCAAGAGCATGGCTAACAGATTTGGGGTTGCTGAGTGTCTTGACTTTCAGAATGCAGGTTTGCATTCTGTAGTAGAACAGTATAGGAGCTGTGTGTGCATAGCTGTCTTTGCCTCTGTGCTCTTCTGTCTGATCCTGCAAGCAATAATTCTGTGTTGGGAATTTATAAGCTTTGCAGAACAAGGATTGTCACTCTGAAAATGGATAGCACAGGGTGGCCCGATGTTGTATTCAGCCCAATCAGTGTAACTCAAATAGAGGATGTCAGTTCATGCAGCCTTCTGTCTATGGACCAAGCTTCCCACAGACAACAGAAATGTCTGCTCAGTAGCAGATCTCGAGTGAACACGATCAAGAGATAAATGCTGTAGGATTGCACTGAGAATGACAATGTGTACTTAACTGCTGTAGATAGGAAAAAAAACTGCTTTTGTTTCTCTTTGACAGGCTGGTACCGAGGATACACGCTCCGCAATAAATCAAAGAAGGTATGAGCTCACTTGTCAGTAGCTGATTTTCATTTTGCACCTCACCAGACCCCATCCAGCGCTGTAAAGGCTGTGCTGCTGCTGTATTTCTGTTGTATGCAGGTCTCCTGACCAACATCCTCTTTTCCTCAGCAATAGAAATAAATGCCCTTGAGGTGAATGTTTCAGACCCGTTAATGAGGTACTTCCCCAATGTAGGCATGCGTAGTGCAGTTTGAAGTGGGGAAGTTGACTGTTGTATATCTGTATATGCTAGCATATTGCTTCATTATTACAGTCTTGGACATGAACACATCCAGCAGTAACTGTATGATTGAGCTAACTATATGATGGTGAGATCAGGATTTTAATTTGACTTAGAAAATATCCCAAAAATAACACACCTGTGGATCACAGCCAGGCTGCTTGAGGTTTGCAAAATCAGTCTGAACAATGCGTGGAATCTCTTTTCCCATAGGAGTCCTGCCTCTTCTCATGTGGTGACATCCTTTACTGAATCCATTTTTCAGCCCTAAAGGGGAGTGAATGCTCCTAGAAGGGTCAGTTCTGTTAAAGCTTGGGATTCCTACAGATGCTGTCATGAGCTGTGAGCTTTCCCAGAGAACCACAAGTCCGCTCTGTAGCAAGTGCATTGGGTGCAACTGCTAGTCTGCAAGACCTTACGGTGTTTTGCACAGGCAGATGAGTGTCAACACAGCGAAGCAACAGATTAACTTAGCTGGGGTGCTAACATCAAACAGAAGGCTTAAACACTGGCAGAGTTCTCCTGTATGCCCTGTCTGGCTGACCTAACACCTTTCTGTTGTGGGTAAACAGCAAATACCTGCTGCTTGTGCTCGTTACCCCTTCCCCTGCTTTTTTGTTGAAGGCACTTACATCATATGCTACAGTGTGATTTGTTGTTTGCTTTCACTTATTCTATTTATTTATTTTTAGGGCATTTTCCCAGAAACGTATATCCACTTAAAAGAGGCAACTGTGAAGGACCGGGGGTAGGTTGGAGCTTTTTGAGATGTGCTCTGAGAACAGAACCAAAGGAACACCGTTTCATTTTGTTGTTGTTTTAAGAAAACACATTTAAAAAGAAAGCAGAAACTTTAGTGGTTGTTGTCATGAGTGTTGTTACTAGACTGTGCTAGGCTTCTGGATCTCGTTTGTTCTGAGCATAGTACATCTCAAAACATCTGTGAGCAGAGAGGCAAGAGAATACTGTGTGCAAAAATAAAAGAGGTCTGTTAGACAAGTTAGTGGCAAGACAGGACAGACAAGTTACACGGAGCCCTCTGGGGAATCCTGCAAATCTTAACGTGTTCCTGCTCACAGCCAAGGAGCCAGTAGGAGTGTGGACTCCTTCCTGTCTTGGAAAACGCTGTAGGAAGTGACTCCTCATTTGATTCTTATAAAGGATTCTGCAATGAATACTGTGTGAGGAAAATAGCAGTTGCAATAGGAAGAGATTTAAGAAAGTACTTTTTTCTTTTTTTTTTTCCTTAAGTGTATGTGGCCAAGTTACCACTGGAAGCAGTGATTGCTGAGAACTTCTGTCCATTTAGCAGTGAGTTCCTGGAAAGGATCCATTGAACGTAACAAGACAGAAAGAAATTGGAATCATTTTCACATTAAAAATGGATAATGATGTGTTGGAGAACCAATGGAACAATGTAGAAACTATGTAGAGTTCATACAATTCATAAGTGAATTGTATGAAAATCTAGGCTGCTTCTCCAGTTATGTATTTACAACTGAAAGATGTTTTATGACTGGGTATGGATATTAATTGTAACACCCTCTTTCTGTGTTCTCCATCTTTAGACAACATGAAACAGTGATTCCGGGTGAATTGCCACTTGGTCAAGAGCTTACTTCCACCCTGAGGGAGTGGGCAGTTATCTGGCACAAGTTATATGTGGTAAGTCTGTTTCAGTGATTGGTGTTTGGTGGATGAAGTGGAAGAAGGGCTGTGCCGTGCAGGTTGAATTGCAGACAGCTTGCAAGTCTTTTAAAGGCTCTTATTTCCATATGTGCAGCTGGAACCTGTGTGTCCATTTCTGCTCTTAAGAAAGGCTGAAAATGTTCAGCCCTCCTCTAGATAAGATCTACAAGCACCGAGGGAAGGGAGCTTCAATCCATGCTACAAAGTGTTCACTGTACGTAAATAATTGGGTGGTGATGCAGCACTGATGAAGACTTGACTCTCAGCATTGACCTGGCACAAGTCACACTCAGCATCGTGTGTGTGCGAGTCACAGTTTACAACCTGAATGAAGGTTCCTGCCTTCTGTATGAGGACAGAATGTCTCAGTGAAGTTAGGTGAGAACCCATCATGTTGTTTTAACGTTTAACAAGTAGAAGCTCTTTTTCTAGACATAGTGTAAGTACTGAATGGAATGGCTCACCCTTGCCATGGAGTGCCTACGGGCCAAAAAGTCACGGGATGAGAAGTGAGCTGGGGTGGTGATCTGCTTAGTGGCCTGGCCATGTGATAAATCACTATAGAAAAGTCAAACCAAGTTAGTGCATGGATTTTATAGTTTTGCTCAGATAGGTGAAGTTCTTGCACAGAGAAACTGGTGTTCACAATGACTCGCTGTCTTTCAAAGGTGGTTGTTAAGGCATGCTAAGAAGAGTCAAACGATTTTTCTTTGGTCAGTAATGAGTTCAGCCTGCATGGTAGTGTGTGCTCTGAGACTCTAATTAAGATGAGAGAATTATTTTAAATTAGCTCTAACCATTCAGTGTATCCAGAACAAGCTTTCCTATTGAAAATGTAGGGCCACAAGGATACTTTGTTTGTGGTCTACAAAACCACAAAAATTCATTCCACCCTCTTAATTTAATGAGAAAGCGTATGTGACATTATTACTGTGTGAAAGCAGAACTTTTGATCCTGGCTTTATTTATAGGCTTTTATTTTTTTAATGCATTACTTGTTTCAGAATCTCTTTTTCCTACGAGCAGAAATCTTTTGCGTTCCTTTGATTAACCAGCATAAGTCTTAAAATAGCCTTGGAAAATGTTGTGGTTTGAGATGGATTTATTTTATTTTCCCTTGCAGTATGTATTAAGAGAAAGAAGAATAAAGAAACAGGACACCACTGAAGGAGGAAGGGGATATTTGAGGACAGAAAGGAAATACAGAGGATTTCTTTATTTGGCAGCGCTTTATTTCCCCTTAATTTCTGTGTTTTTCTGCAGATCTTGTACCATCGGGTATATCTCTACTGCAAACAAATACAAAAAAGGGTGGCACTTTTAGCTTGGGCTGGTTAATAGCAGTTAACAAAAGTAAACAGCTGGAGAGATAACTCAGGTTTAGCCAGCCAAATTGAGGCCTGCTCTGAATTTCTCTAGAAGCTCACCGGAATTGCATTCCTTTAGGCGACTTTAGGTTAACAGGGCGCTTTTATTTCTTTCCTAAATACACCTGCTGTACCTTCTCTTTATCAACTGTAGACTAACCCAGCTTCCCCCAGCACCTTCACCCAACTCCAGTGGAAGATGGGTCCCAGTTCGTAGCTGCCTTTGGGTTTCTGTTCTGAAGGGGCAAACGTGGTGTCATTTCATCTTCTGCCTCCTTTACAGAATGGGGCAGTAACTTCACTGAGCCTCTTTGTCAGGTGTGTGTGAGCAGTTGGTGCTCACAGTTAAACATTAACAGTTGATACCACACGCTGCCATTAGTCAGCTGCTGGTGACTGTCCCTGCAGTACACAATTGACCAGTTCCTGCTTGCTGGTGGTAGAAAAAAAGCCCCACTCTTAACCACCATTTTAGAGCTGCATAACCATAAACTTTGTCCCAGTAGAGCTGATGTAAGATGATTTATGGCACCTTCCTTCTGAAAATGAGCTGCCCTTGCAGCTGGCTGTGGGTCAGAATTGTTGTAGTGCCCAGCTAACTGGGTGCTGGTGAGTGAGGACAGGGCCTGGCTTCCTCCTTCAGTCTAACAGCTGATGCTTTAAAAGGCTTAATTACTCATCTAGGCACGTTCTGCTGCAAATATGGTTATTATCACATCACTATCCACTTTGTAATTACACTGTCAGCCTTGGAATCTGAAGCTCTATGAAGGAGGTGTGGGTAACTAATTTTTAAGATGTGGAACCAGTTAATAGCATAAAAAATATTTTCATTAATCAAAGATGATGACAGTAGAAATGGGAGAAGGAAACTTCACAATGCAGGCTTCGATGTCCTCTTTATGATTACAGATGCTGCATTCGTAACAAAAATGCGGCCACTTTGGCAAAGACAGATGAATACCTGGGCAGATTGGGCAGGTGATATCTGGGGAGCTTCCTTCAGTCACATGGTCTGATTACATTATTTGGTTGATCTCTGCCTTGGTGGGTTTTGAGCAACCAGTGTATAGAACTTTCAGAAACCTCTGTTGCCATTCTGCCTTTGCTAGTGCTTAAAAGCATTGTGTGATTCACGACTGCATTTTGCAGTCTGAATTCTGTGCAAACGCAAACAAAAACGAGTGCTCTGAAGAGCAGATAATCTTCACCCTTATTTGCTGATAGGCTCCAGTCAGGGAGATGATTGTGTTTCAGCAGAGCTACTCTGGTTTCCATGAGACTCTTGTCTGGAGGTCAGGCGTGGGCACAGCAATCCACGTGTGAGCTAGTGGTGAGTAGGAAAGGAACCTTGAAATACTGTGGCAGTGTATCTCAAATACTGCTGCATTTTCCTTTTTATGCATAATAATTGGATTGAAGTGTTCTTTAGGCTGTAGAAGGTGTGAAGAGAAAGCTTATGTGGGCTTCAGTGTCATTATTATTTCTGTTTTGGTGTCACTGTTAGACTTCTGCAGGTAAAGAGTTTACCATAGAATCTTAGTATCTAAATAGGTGAAACAAATGGGAAGCATGCATAAAAAATGTGAGGCTATGTCACACTTCCTGAGAGTGACAGACCTCAAATCTTGAGGCACTTAAACCTTGGCAGTGCAAAGTGCTGGACAGTTTTCCCCATGGTTTAATCTTGTTGTGTCATATGAAGCCTTTTGCTCAGATATTTTTAATTAAATGCAGCTTGTGTGGTGGATTCAGATGAGTACACTTCAGGAAGTTATCTGAGGTTGTAGTTTTCAGTTTATTATTTATGAGCTTAAATGGTCCCTTTTCTTCCTGTAGGATAACAAAACAACACAGTTTCGTCATGTCCAACAGTTGACTTACAGCCTGATAGAGTGGAGATCACAGATACTATCTGGGACTCTTCCCAAAGATGAGCTGGCTGAACTCAAGAAGAAAGTCACTGCTAAAATTGACTATGGCAACAGGTAGACTCCAAACTACATCCAGAGGGCAGGGTAGGGTCCCAGATCCCACTGCAGGCTCTGGAACTGTTTTGAGGATGGATGTAAGTGGCTATTAATACAAAATGGTGTAAAGAAGCACACAAGAACAACAGTGAATCAGGCTGTACGTTTTGCCTTGGAAAGGAGGTGATTGCAGCTTTCTGTTCCCATCAGAACGTGATTAATGTGACAGGTGGGCATGTAGCAGTTGGCTCTTCATATGCCAGCATTCTCTTTAAATTTGGCAGCAAAGCTTACCTGTCTTAATTCTGCAGAGATGCTGGCACATGGCTGCATTTCCCATGGAGCACAGTTTGTGCCCGGCTGACTGGAGCTGGGATTTGGATGCTGGTTGTGAACTAAACTGCTTTATCAGCAACTGAGCAATACAGTCCTATAGGCCACCAAAACTACATCTTTCGCTGGTTTATACAGAATAGGGATTGTCTCCAATACTCATTTATCTACCTGTCAGACTTGATTCAGGTCAAATAAGTCAATTAAGAAGAAAGCTTATGGCAAAGAATAATAATTAGCCACAACCCGTGAGCTTCATAGAAATACCTACCATTTTATGTTAAATACACGTAAGTGAGAACAAGATGTCATCTTAGCACAGAGTTACATGGCTAATTATTTTTCCCTTTAATGGGGAAACTGGATATGGGGGATGAGGAAGTTCTGTTTCTGAGTGGGAAAACCATTAATGTGATTATTAGAAGGAATAGAATCAATGAATATTGGCAGCCTGGTGCAGCCCACAGCTTGATCTGTCATTTGTGCTCTCTCAGTCACCTTTGCTTCTTACATACTGTGTTGCTGCTTTTGTCCTCTGATTCGCACGCTACTCAGGATCCTGGGTTTGGACCTGGTTGTACGAGATGACAATGGGAACATTTTGGACCCAGATGAAACCAGCACAATCTCTCTTTTCAAGGCCCATGAAACTGCATCCAAAAGGATTGATGAAAGAATCCAGGAAGAAAAGGTACATCTCTTGCTGCTGGCTTTACCCTCCTCTCAGAACTTGTACCTGCTGTGTTTGTACGTTCCTCTTAGGGATATTGTGCTACTTTGGCAGCAGAACTGAAATGATTTATGTTGTTTTTAATGGGAGCACTGTTCTTCTTTGCAGTCCCTGCAACAGAATTTGGAACTCCGAGGGCAGCCAATATTTAACACAACACACACTTACAGCCTCTATGTAAACTTCAAGAATTTTGTCTGTAATATTGGAGAAGATGCAGAGCTCTTAATGAGCCTCTATGACCCTGACCTCTCCAAATTCATCAGGTAGGGTGTTGGGGTTCTTTGTGTACACATGAGCAATTTAGTTGTTCTGAAGAAGCCAGTGCAAGTTAGAAAGCAAGAATCAGCAGAGAAGTGTTTTCAGTTCTGTTGGTTGCTGCTCCAGTAGTGATTTGAAAGGTGATTATTTAACTTCAGCTAAGAAGTGAAGACCATGAGCACTTGTACTCTGCTTCTTAAAGCTGGGTGTTTCTGTGATACAGTAGTGAAATCCCAGATTGTGTCTTTTATGTTCTTTAATTTCCCTGTTTCTTTCACTGTTTTGAGGCATTTGATTCATTGCTTCTCTTTTGATGTGATACATGCATATTGTTTTCTGTCAAATTAGTGCAAGTTCACACTTAAAAGCTGGCTATCTTGTACCAGTCAGGGAGGATACAAGGTATAAGGAGGCGTTTAGGTGTCAGGCACCATCTATCTCTATCACTGAAGTTATCAGGTGTGAAGATGCAGTCAGCTGAGAGTAGCCATTCCCCCTGTGCCTGGCTTCTGCCTTCAGTGAAACGAGCCTCTTGAGAATCATGTTGTCATTGCATATTTTGGCAGAGCTTTTCAAACACTCCGAAAAGATCAAACTACTCTGGGATAATTGGAATGTTAGATGTTGATTTTTGCTTTTTTTTGCTTCATTTGTAGTGAAAATTACCTTGTTCGTTGGGGCAGTAATGGGATGCCTAAGGAAATTGAGAAGCTAAATAACCTTCAAGCAGTCTTTACTGTAAGTTGTTGTATTTTCATCCTGGAGATTCTTCCCCATGCTGCAGACATTGGAGTTTGGGATTCTTTCCCCTTCTTGCCCCTCTGCTTCTAGTGGAAGTGGCAATTTAGGTTGGTTTTATGGGCACTTAAGATCTCATGGGCAGCCTCAGAGGAATGCTCCTGAGAAGTATTTTTTTTAAGAGTAAATTTCCTTTTAAATGTGTACAGTCTAACAAAGCAAAAAGCTTTTTGCTCTCTGTCCTCTTCTCCCCTGTTTATAGAGCAGATTGATGTAACTTTATTTTAAATAACTTCCAGGATTTAAGCAGTTCGGATTTGATCAGGCCGAAAATCAGCTTGGTGTGTCAGATTGTGAGAGTGGGGCATATGGAGCTGAAAGATGGGAAGAAACACACGTGTGGACTCCGGAGGCCCTTTGGTGTGGCAGGTATGGCAAATTCAGACACAGGAGAGAAGAGCGTGGTCCAGTGCTTGGGAGGTGAATTAGGAAACATAGGCTGTATGCCAGCAAACCTGTTAACTCTTTCATGTCAGCATCTCTTGAGGACTGAGAATATGATGCTGAGCTGCTTGATACTCCTTTGAGATCTTTCAGTCACATACGTGAAGGTGACACGCTGTCAGTGCTTGCTTTTTGGCTTGTCTCCATCTGAATAGATAACACACTGCTGTCAGTACAGTGGACTTTTCAGATGTTTGAAGAAGAGGGATTTGCTCCCCACAACTAATAGGATAAAGATGGATTTTTTTCAAAGGAGCTTTGGTGAATGAGACATCCAATTCCTGTTCAGTTGCTGTGATGGCTTGTGAAGAGCCTTGCTTGAGGTCCCTGGGGAAAACAATTTCAAAATAATCAGCATTTGAAACCTAAACATTTGGAGAGGTGTTGTTTTTTTTTTTTGTCTCCAAATGCCTGAATCCCAGCTGTGGTTGTTTTTTTTTTGTATCGTATATTCACATTCACTCCCATGTGCTGACTTAAGCACCAATAAAAATATGCTTGTTAAAAAGTTAAAAGGATGAGAGTGGCCTTCTGCATTGCTGTCACGAGTGGTCTTGGACTGAAACAAGCAGCTTTTGTTTCCATTCTGATAGGGAGAGCTCTCTCTGTGTTCTCTTTTGGCACTTGGCAGAACTGTGTGTTGGGTTTGTGTTGTTTCAGTGATGGACATAACAGATATCATACATGGGAAGGTGGACGATGAGGAAAAGCAACATTTTATTCCATTTCAGCAGTAAGTATCATACTTTGGAGTTCATCACATATCTGGCTCTTTTAAGGCACTTGTCCTTCGGAGAAGGACAAATTTGTACGGCAGCCTGGCAGCTGACCAAGGTCTCTACAAATAGATTAGCTAATGGCAGTAGTCAGCTTTTTGCAGGAAAAGATTTTTGTTGGTCCTCTGATGCTTTTGTTCCCCTGGATTTACATGTCTATACAGTAAGTTACTCAGGGAGTCTTAGCAGTGCTGCTGGAGTTGGTGGATATTCATATTATATGAAGGAGGAAAGAAGAGCAGAGAGCAAAATAATGTGAGTCTGGGGGATGTGACCTTAAAAATTGTCATGGAAGTGAGGCAAGGTTTTGGGGAGCACCTGAGCAGGCAGGGATCATTGCTCCTTGTCAGCTTGTGTGGCTCCCTGGGCATTGCCAGCCTGTAGCTTTTCAGGGTGAGTCAGAAAAGAGTTATAAAGAGATTTCTCCCTCTTCCTGGAAAAGAAATTCAGGCCCCATTGTGATGTGCATTTCTGAAATGTTAAAACTTGTGTGTGTTCTGCCTGCTCTCCCATTGCTCACTTTCTCAGCACATTACAGTAATTAGAACGGAGCTTGTTTGGGTAGACTCAGCTTATTACTGTCCTAAATATAGTGATCCATTTGGTGTAGCTTATGTTGTTGCAAGATATTTTCAGGGGAGACTGTTGTATGTCTCTACCATTTTAGCACCTGCAAGACTGCAAAAAAGGATGTATTTTAATTTGCAGAATAACATGAGTCTCCTTTTTTTTTTTTTAACCCTGTTTTTCTTTTCTTATAATCAGATTGAGTTTAGACCCAAATCTTTTTACCTCTGCAGGGATGGGGAGTCTGTGGGGATGTTTATATGCTTTAGTTCGTTGTTGATGGTGTGAGAACAGGAGTGTAATCTGGTTCCACATCCAGGCTCGCTAGGTGTGTTTGGCAGGGAGATGTTCAACACCCCTGTGGTGTCATTAGTCATGTTAATTTAAGGCTGGTTAATGAACATAATCTCCTGGGGGCAGCTCTGAGGCCCAGATGAAGACAGAGCTCAGTTCATCTAATGGGAGCAAAAGACTCCACCTACTGAGCTGCGTGGTTCCCCATAGCCATAGCTGCTCTACAAGGCAGTCTGTGGATGGAAAAAGGAGCAAAGTAGAACTGGCTGCCTTTGTGGTTGTCCTTAAGGCTGCTGGTTCAGCATGCTACAGATGTATTCACAGAGCTTTTAACTAGGGACAAATTATTTATCCTAATCCTAGACTAGCAGTGATGAGAGTTCAGATGTTTTTTTTCAGTTGGGTTTAGGCAGGTGAAGAAAAAGTCTTAATTTAGAAGTAATTACACTACTTGGAAAACAGTTAGCTGTTGGCCAGCCCTTGTCTCGCAGAGCACATGGTGATGTTAGTTTATCCACTTCCCAGTCTGTTGTTGTTCTTCTCAGGATTGCCATGGAAACATACATCAGACAGCGACAGCTAATTATGTCCCCGCTGATAACTTCCCATGTGATTGGAGAAAATGAGCCCCTCACTTCTGTCTTCAACAAAGTCATCGCTGCAAAGGAAGTGAATCATAAAGGGCAAGGTACAGCAGTCAGGCAGGACGTGAAAAGCTGGTGTGGGGAAAGGTTCCTCTTGCTTACAGAGGAAAGTAAATGGCTCATGAAAGTCCAGAGATCGATGGTTACTGGAGTTTGCTACCTTCACCAAGCTAAACCATTGTTCTTTGTACCAGTGGCTGCCACCCCAGCACTTTGGGAGCTAGAGAGATTAAAAATAGGATCTGTTCTTACTTGAGTGAAAATATACCCTCCTTTTCTAGCTGATGCTTGCAACTTATGTCATTTTATTTTGTTTTATCAATTGTGGGCATAAAATATTTTTAAGTGAACATGACTGACTGCGTATTCCAGGTACTTTGTACTGGATTCTCCTGCTCTTGTATGTCTGGTTTTTACCCCAGTGAGCAAATGTTACCCTTCCTTTTTTTAGGTCTGTGGGTCTCCCTGAAGCTGCTTCCTGGTGACCTAGCACAAGTTCAGAAGGATTTTTCCCACCTTGTAGACAGATCCACTGCTGTGGCTCGCAAAATGGGATTTCCTGAGATAATTCTTCCTGGTAGGTCCCATATTCTTCCACTTTTCTGTGGAGTAGAAGAGACATGTGAAATTCTGGAGTTTCTGCCATGAACAGGTTTATTTCAAAGATGGCTTAAAGCCAGTTTGTTTTTACTTTTCGTGATATTTCAAGGTGATGTCCAATTTTTTTTGTGTGAAAATGCCTTCTTTGAGAAATATTGAAAAATGATAGCATCAGTCCTCCTTGGAGGAAGATCTGTCTTTAGTTGAAAAGATAATTTTGTTGCTTACAGTTCTGACCCTGCTTTGCTTTATCCATTCAGAACTACTTTAGACCTACACAGCTCACTGCATTTAAAAAGGTGTTGCATAAAGGCAGAGGTCTCTGAAAATAAAAATACAGTGGTACGTTGTAAAAACTTCTCTACAATTGGAAATGAAGATGAAATGGTGTGATGTTGGGTGCCATGAATTAGCTGCTGTCAATAGCTATGAAGAGGAAAAGGATGATGTGTTACCCTATGATGTTAGATATTACCTGGGGAACTTCTATGACTCTCCATACAGTAAAAAGAACTCATTGAGTGCTGTGGATTTTAGGTGATGTTCGAAATGATATCTATGTCACTCTGATACAAGGAGAGTTTGACAAAGGGAAGAAGAAGACTCCTAAGAATGTAGAAGTCACCATGTCTGTACATGACGAGGATGGCAATCTCCAAGAGGTATGATGGCCTTTGCAGAGGAGAACAGAGCTGCTCATTTGGATAGTGGTAGCTCTGGTGCATAGGATCTTTTTCATTCTTCAATTTGTGAGCAAGGACTGCATGATACTGAACAAGAGAGATTAGAGGTGATCTCAATGAGTAATTTGAAGTCACTAATTTTCTATGTTATTATCAAATGTGAGTAAAAAATGAAGTGACACAGATCCCTTGGTTGGAAAGCATGGATTTTGAGCAACTCCACAAGCTCTATGCTTTGAAAATTTTCAACCCCAAATGCTTCCTGTCTTTCATTCTAGACCTCACCTTTTCTTTTCCCCCCCACCCTCATTTTTTTTTCCCAAAGAAAGCTATCCATCCTGGTGCTGGTTACGAAGGTGTCTCTGAGTATAAGTCTGTTGTTTATTATCAAGTCAAGCAACCATACTGGTATGAAACTGTAAAGGTAAGAGTGCATAATTTATAATCTTGCTTCTTTGCGTGGAAAAAGGACCTGATTTAAAATCAATTAATTAAAATTGTTATAAAACTAATTTAAAACTATAATGTCCTGTAAATTGATGATGATGTCCCATCATTTGTAGGTATCCATTGCAATAGAGGAAGTCAGTCGTTGCCACTTAAGATTCACTTTTCGTCATCGATCATCGCAGGAATGTAAGTGTTCAAAGAGAAGCCCAACAGAGCACTGCCCTTTTCCTACTCATTGAGATTTTTGAGTTTCTGCAGTGCTGTACCAGTTTGCATTCTGCTTGTTTCCAACATTGGGATGTCATTGGAAGCAAAGACAAGTCATTGAAGCTTTTTATAGCCTTAATAAAAGATTAAGTGCTGGTTTTGTTCTAAAACTGGAGTTAAATAGGGAGCAGAGCATTAGCCCCCTTGGAAGACTTTTGTCAGTGCTTCTCTGTGTATAGCTGTCTTTTTAATTTCTTTTGAGACCTTCACACAGTTAAGTCCCATTCAGTCTAATGATCTTACAGGAGGTTTTCTGATTACACTGGTGAAAGGCATATGAGAAATTTAGAGCCAAAACTTCGGCAGACTTCTTCAGAACCACGTGAAACAGGATCATTAAAGTCAAACTGGTCTCTTGGAAGAAATCTTTTAAGGCAGTTGAGAAATGCAGTGACACGCTTCTGCATCCATAGTCACATGTCAGTTTGAAAATCCCTACCAAAATCTGTGTGCACATTGTGTTTGTCCATCTATCAAAAAACTAGCCACTGAAATTGCGTGGAGAAGGAAGATTGATTCAGAGAGGAAGCTTTTTCTGTAATTGCACATATCAGCCAAGTGCCCTGAGATGAGCTTTCTGCTGTGGATCATGAAGCATTCTACCTCCAACACATTATCTTGTGATGGTGCTAAATAAAGATGCTTCATGAATTATGAACAGCATGGACATAATTAAGATAATTCCTAATACATTTTTTTTCTTTATACTTATAGCAAGGGATAAGTCTGAGAGAGCTTTTGGCATGGGCTTTGTGAAACTGATGAATGCAGACGGAACAACGCTACAGGATGGCAAACACAACTTGATTATTTATAAGGTAGCTCTGGCATTTGCTGGCCTCACTTTGGTGTAATTAATGAAAGTGTTTCTTTTGACTTACTTTATGTTTTTCTAAGCAATGTAAACACTGCTGTATCATTGTGGGAATGTTAAATGATTCCTTTCGGGATGATGGCAGAGTAGCCTGTTTTTGTAAGTTATCAATACAGCTTTAAGGGATTGGTTTTCTGACTTGGGCACAAATCTGGTACATACTAGTGTGTGTACAATGCTTTTCTTCTCCCGTTGTTCACTGGACAGCAAGCAGCAAACAGGCCTGGTGAGCACCTCATTTAGAAGATCAGTGTGTGACAGGGAGAGAGATATGGTGCCTTTCATCACAGTAAGAGGAAGAAGCTAATGCATTGCTGTAGAAAGCTACAGTGGGATGGGGTGGGTTGAACTCCTACAGTGTGTGGCTTGATTCACTCTCTCAAAGAGCTGAGTTTATTGGCAGGAGGCAGGCAACTTCTATTCCTTAAAGTTAGAAGTCCAAACAATGCAAGTAAATGACCACAGACATGAAAGTGTGTTGAAAGCCTTCTGTGGCCGTCCCTGTGTTTAAGTGTTTATGTGGATAATGTATCTGCAGATGAGAACTGCAAGAGTTCAGAGAAGTGCTCGGTGTGTGAGATAACCCTCCTCTTTCTTGTGGTCAACCAACAGGGTGATAACAAGAAAATGGAAGATGCAAAGTGCTATTTGACTCTTCCTTATACAAAAGTGGAAATGGAGGAGAAGGAGACCCCCTCAGGGAAGAGTCTGCACCATCTAGCCAACTTTACACCCAACAAAGACAGTACAAAAGACAGCTTCCAGATAGCCACTTTAATCTGCTCTACCAAACTCACCCAGAATGGTAGGTCTTTGTTAGCCTCCCAGTGGTATTTCATGCTGTGCATTTGAATTTAAAAGGGCCATTTCTTTCTGCAGATGTCTATGGCATTGTGGCACATGTGAGCATACTGCTTTAACTTTAATCTTGCTGCTTCACACATCAGCGACAGCCCAGTCCCAGCATTGTTGGCACCAGCATTGCCTTTATTTGCTTTAGAGTTCCTGCTCTAAAGCAAACACAGAGCAGAGCACAAGAAAAGTCATGTACTCTTGTAAATGTCCTGGTTTGAGGTGTCTTCTCCTGAGTGAATGAGACTCCTGCAGAATTGTCTACTGAATGCTTTATGTTATCAAAGTACATCAAGGTTTTCCATTAATAGCAAAGCTGACTTTCTTGCCAAGACAAAAGAGCCACATCGAGGTAATTTTCTGCACAACACGGTGTGACTTTTCCTTGTAAGCTGATTCTAAAAATAACCTCTAGTACTTATTCTGTACTATTCTACAGCCATTAAGTCAGCTGTGTTGTTGTAATCTGTTTCTAATTGCTGATGTTCTGTCCTTGCTAGTTGACCTGCTGGGTTTGTTGAACTGGCGTTCCAACTCTCAGAACATTGCCCACAACCTCAGGAAGTTAATGGAGGTGGAAGGAGGAGAAATTGTAAAGGTATACATAGAGATTTGAGTCTCCTTGTTGTGCAGATACTTTGAAGGATTATCACTGTGTTGTACCCAAGAGCTCCTTGTGTGGGCTAGGGATAATTGTTGTTCTAGCTGCAGAATAATGGCCAGTTAAAAAAGCAGTAGACAGAAATGAAGTGGGGACAATCAGAGGTGATAAGAGCAAGGAGGATCTTTTCTTACAGCTGAGAATAGGATGATCATCATGAGCAGCATGTGAATGAACATAAGGAATGAACATAAGATCCCTTTAAAAATGGTCTTTTGTGTATGCAGTTTAACTGAGCTGGGCTGGAGGGGAACCATGATCCAAAAGAACAGACTCCTGTGCAGTGTTCCAGTGCTCCTTTCTGACACTTTTGCTATTCATTCCTCTAGTTTTTGCAAGACACTCTTGATGCACTTTTCAACATAATGATGGAAATGTCAGAAAATGAAACCTATGACTTCCTTGTGTTTGATGCACTGGTGAGTGACTTTTTCCATCGATGTTATTAGAAAAAGAAATCAACAAAAACCAGTGACATGATTGGAGACTAAGTTGTGTTGCAGTTAGTTGAAGATTGTGCATCTCTGTATCATCTCTCTCCTTAATTTTTTTTTTGCAGGTATTTATTATTTCTTTGATTGGAGACATAAAGTTCCAGCATTTCAACCCTGTACTTGAAACTTACATTTACAAACACTTCAGTGCAACTCTCGCATACGTGTAAGTATTGGTAACCACAAACCTACAGACTGACCTCCAGGCAGCATCTCTCTGATACTGACAGTGAATTAAACTAATGTGGTCACAACAGCATAGACCCCAGATGATTGTTTTTTGTCCTGTTCTTCTCTGCTTCCAGGAAATTAAAAAACCCTGCAGTTAGCTTTTTTACTTTGTTAAAAGTTTCCGTTGTCAGAATTCTTTTCTGCAAGATGCTGCTGGCTTGGCAAATGCTGCATTAAGAGCGTGTGATTCAGACTGTCTTTTGACCTGCAGCACTCACACTTTATTTTTATTTTGTGCGTGTGTGTGTTACAAAAGGGTCTTTGTGTTTATCAGCCTGCTTTCCTATCAAAAAAAGGCTTCTTGCAGTCAGTCTGTATGGAAGATGTCATTGTAAGTCACTGCAGGGACAGGGGAATTGATCAAAGAGGATAAATTCATTAAAAGCCTGATCTAATAGGTATTGCTGCTGCTGGAACTACGTAGAACAAATTTGCAGTGCTTCACGTTCAGAAATGCAGCTGAGGATGATGGGAGTAATTTTGTTTTCCCATAGCAGTTGCATTTTTGAACTTCAAAGCTGGATGCTGGTAGTGTGGAAGTAGAGCAAGTGCAAAAGCTGTCATATACTTATCTATTGCTCACACACCACTTGGAGTGCTGGGAGTTGTTTAATGAAGAGGATTTTGGTTGAAGGACAGTAAGATTCCCATCCTTTAATTCAGGAGAGACTGGATAGTGAATAAGTGTTGTGCAACTTTAGTGTTGCTTGAGAAGCACTTTGAGCTCTGTGTAGCAGAAAGCTGACACATGCAGAAGATGTCAGTCCACTTCAAAATAGGTTTTCCAAATCCCTGATTCCTTTATTTTAGGGAATAAGAAAAATACAACTGGGATTTGTAGGTAGACGTGGCAGCCGTGGTTCATCCATGGAGCTGGTCATAAAAACGTGGCACCCAAGGAAGCCAAAAGCTTCAGAAGAAAATAAGCTGTAAAGAATAGCTTCTGCTTTGGGATTGTTAGATGTAGGTCCTCTCTGGAATAACGAAGCTGAACATGCACAGAAATTTAACTCTGTCTTTATTTATTCCCCTTTTTGATTCTCCAAAGGAAACTCACTAAAGTGCTGAACTGTTACGTGGGAAATGCTGATGACTCCAGCAAGACAGAATTGCTGTTTGCTGCTCTGAAAGCCTTGAAATACCTCTTCCGATTCATCGTTCAGTCGAGAATATTGTACCTGAGGTGAGCTTTGTCACTGCCATCTTCACTGTGTCTCTTCATGGAAGTCAGTGCTTCCAGTCAGTATCACTGGAGAGAATACTCTTCAGTTTTGTTGAAACTCATTTAAAGACAGAAATGAGCGACTTGATTCTTGGAAACCAAGTGGATTTTGAGGCATTGGCAACTAGAGAAATGCAGCTTTTCTGTTACAGATTTCATCAGGAAATTACTCCTATGGTAACTCAGAATCCCAAATGCCATTTTTGCACTCATTTCTTTGTAGAACAGATAACTATAAGATGTTCTTCCGAACTATAAAATGATATTTCAGCTGCTGTGACTCTGCTAGCCTAGATTTACGTGTGTAACTACATTGCTTTCTGTTTTTTATAGGTTTTATGGGAAAAGTGAAGATGGTGATGAATTTAATGATGCAATACGCAAGCTGTTCTTCTCCTTCAATGTCCTCATGGACCGTCCTTTAGAGGAGGCTGTCAAGATTAAGGTATGCATAATTTGCAGGAAGAGCTAATGCCTTTTATTACATCAACTGATACATTTGGGAAGGCAGAAAAAGGGTCAAGCTTTGAGGTGCATAATCCCATGCAGATGAATCACACCAGAATCTTCAGAATATCTGTTGCAATGCTGAATGTGAAAGGAAAAAAGGCATTTAAACCATAAAATTTATCAAATGAAGATGTGAGATTCTTGCTGAAAACCCTACAGCAACTGCTAGGATGAAAGCTAACAACCAAGATGTAACATAGCATAGCATGAAAGGCTCTTCAACCGCAAGTGCCAAGTGATGGTGATGCAAATGTTACACCACTACAGAAATGAACATAATCCTGAAATGAAGGTACTGAAAAAGCAGATGGTTCCTAAAAGTATCTTAGGTTGTATATTTGCTTGTTTTTATGGCCTGGACTGGATTATGTACCTTGTGTTTGGGCTCCAAGGAGGAGCAGAGCAACTGTGCAGTAAGCCTGGCTAAATTGGCAAAGTGAGTCCTCTAGATGGTTTATTTCAGTTCTTCTAACTATATGCCTTTCTATGCTTAAAGGAAAGATTGATTCTAGACTTCGAGTGAGTATTTGGGTCATTTGAAGTCCAGCTTTGATTTTATGATAAGCAGAGTTCCTGCTGGCAGCAGCCATGAAGCATCACCCAGAGGCCTTTGGTTACGGTTGCACCCAGGTGCTTGGATGCTATAGAATCTATAAAAGCCACATTGTGGGAACTGTTTAACATATTCCTCTGTGTGTGGACGTGCTGAAGGAGCTTAATCCCTGGAACTGCAGGATGTTTGCAAAAAAATCCAACCAACTTGGCTCTGAATTCTTCCTCCTTCACTTTTTCCACTCTGTGCTGCAGTTGTGTAGTTGCTGGAGGCTTTTTGGATGCATAGATTTGATGTCAAGCCAGATCTTTGCAGGTGTCTGCGTATTTGCTCTTGACAGAACTAGATTTGCCACATGAGCCATGGGCATTGCTGTTGAGGCTTTACACCCTTCCAGAATGAACTGCCCAATCTCACTCGGTTTCAATGTGTGCTTTCTGTCTCTCATTTTCTTGCAGGGTGCAGCTTTAAAGTATTTGCCAAGCATCATCAATGATGTCAAACTAGTCTTTGACCCTGTTCAACTCAGGTAAGCAAATGAAGTTTGTCCTCCAAACTCAACTCATCTGTTGGGGAAAAAAATAAGAAACTTTCCTAAAACAGCTGCTCTGATTACGATGTGCTCATGTGTGCAGGGCGTGATTTCATAGGAAGCTCCTTCCAGGGCTCTGGAGGAACTCAGATTACTTCAAAGCAGTCTATGCCATTCAATTGCTTTTTCTTAGGAGCTTTGAGAATCTGTTCTAATCCAAATTTAAGGACTGGAGAGCCATGTGTGGAAATGTGCAAGTTTCCAATTCTTAATGATTGCTTCTGAAGTAGACTGAAATGTGTGACACAACCTTGGTCAGAAAACAAAACAAAAATTGTATTATTTCAAGAAATTCATGACACTGTGAACTTCTGTTCTTTGGCGTTCGTAGCTTTACCAGGAACCTCCCTTTCATGCTTCCTTGTTCTGACATGGATAATTTGCTCTCAACAGCAGACAGACAGCAAATGTACATGGAATTTAATTTAATGGAGTCTTAAGATTAACATGAGTCATCATTTGTCATGAAAGGGGCATCTGGAAGGATGTGCCATTGTGCCTAGCAGTGTCTTAGGCTTCAGCAGAGCAAAATTCTGCTTTCATTTTGTATGATTATTTTACCCTGGCAATGGAGGATGTACAGTACCTCCTATTTACAAGCTTTTATGGCATGTTTATTGCAAACTTTACTTTCAGAGCCTTTTGCCTGCAGTTTTTGAGTGCTGTTCAGTTCTACTGATTGCTTTGCTAAGTTTGTAGAAAACAAGTTAATAAGAAAATAACAATTCAGCACAGGGGCAAAACTGCTCAACTTGCCCAGGTGCAGGGCAGTGTAAGTGTGGATGGAAACACGCTGGGTGAAAAATGCTGATGTTCTGTTTGCTCTGTGGTTTGCATGTTAGCAACCTCTTCGGCAACTTCATCCAGAGTATTCCTGACAACCAGTTGGTTCGACAGAAGCTGAACTGCATGACCAAGATTGTTGAGAGTGACCTGTTTAAGCAGCCTGGTGAGTAGTGAATGGAGGTCAGTGGTTTCTTTGTGGAGCTGTGCACCTTTGCAAACAAAAATGTCTTTCACATTTACGCATTTAAATCAATCATCAGCAGTAGTCCACAATTAAATCCATCTGCAGAAATATTCCTCGCCTTAGTGGCTCCAGAACTTGAAACTTTTCAGTTTCAAGTTCAGTGTTTATGCAGTGTTAACTATGGTGAGATCCTGATGGAGCATGTTGGTTTAAAAATCAAGGAAGAGTGTGACCTGTTTGGTGTAACACATACCATTATGGATTATTTGTCTCTCTTAGTCTGTCAGAGTGGGTTAAAGTGTATGTTTTGGTGTCAGAGCTAAAGTTAAGAGCAGAAAGCTGCAGTGTGCTACTTGTTTATATGGACTGCTGAAGAACCAACAAGATATGGTGCTGTGTTTCATTTTCAGAATGCAGAGATGCTCTTCTCCCTCTGCTGATAGACCAGCTGAGCGGCCAGTTGGATGACAACTCAAACAAGCCCGACCACGAGGCCAGCTCACAGCTACTGAGCAGCATTCTGGAAGTGCTGGATAGGAAAGATGTGGTGAGCATGATCTCTCAAGGGTGCAAATTAAGGTTAATTCTGTCTTTTCCCTAACTCCTCAAAAAAAACCCCAATGCTTATAGAAATTTTATTGTGTTGCTCTGTATTTTTTTTTTCAATCTCTTCACACAAAGTAGCTGTGTCCAAAAAGAGGTCATGCAGAGATTGAATTGGTGGTTATTGCTGTGTACAAAGAAAAGTTCTTTCCTTCCTAGGAACCAAAATGCAGTTCTCAGTTACTTTGGTGGCTTGGTGGATTATTACAGAGCCACTGATTTGAGTATTTGGTTTCTCACTGAATAGAAACAATGGTCATTCAGTTGGGGAGTACAGTTATGCACCCTATGAGTCATGGGAATTAATTCTAAGTTGCTTTGAAAAGAGTAATTTGAAATGAAGGGACAAATGTCAAATAAAATTGTTCAGCTCAGCTGTGCTGGGATGAGCCAGTGAAGCTGGAACAGATGAACTGTGCTGTTACCTCTTCTCTAAGTCTATACCAACAGTACTCAAATCAGCTGTTGCTGTGTAGTAAGTCATCTTCTTTGCATCCTCAGATAGCAATTAAGCACTGCTGGGGCAGTCCTCCCACGTCAGGGAGCTCTCTATAGGACAGTATATGTAGAAAATAGTCTGATTTTCCTTTTTGAACACCCCCAGGGGCCCACAGCCAAGCACATCCAGCAGATCATGGAACGCCTGCTGAGGAGAATCAACCGCACGGTGATAGGAATGAACAGACAGTCTCCACACATTGTGAGAGCCCTTTCCTTCCTTCGTTTACTACATTCCCCTCTGTAATATTGGAATTTATTCTCCTGGGAGGTTTCGGTGTGTAGGGTGGTTTGTGAAATCGTCACTTCCTGTGCCGCTCCAGCATGGCTTCTGCTCGCTGTCTGTGGATGGGTGCTGGGACTCAGATGGTTCCATTCCAGCCGCAGATCAGCTGAGTCACAGTTGGCTGTGATTCTGAGTTCCTTTGGGCCCCATGCACAGAGAATTTGGTTTCAGCCCATTTTCTAATGCACGAGGAATCTCTGCTCAGAAGAAAATGCTCTTTTGCCACCTTTGCTAAAAAGGACTAAGTGCTGAAGGATTTGGCATCTCTAAATGGGAATTGTGGTTACTGTGTTGCATCTTAAAAGTGTAGGAAGCTTTATGTCCTGATTTGCACTGTGTATAAGTGTGTAGAAAGATGGAAAGATTAAGGGCAAGCATAGACAGCCATTTCATAGGTTTAAGTTCAGGTTGTTGCTATTACCAGCATGTCAGCCGTGGGAATTACAGATGGATATGATCAACTAAAAATGTAGTGATTCATATATATGTACACACACACATACATAAATATTCATTCTGATGTTTAGAGGATGTGTTTTTCTTGCAAACTGTGATCCCTGGGTGTAAAAGAAAGCTGTACTCTGACTTAATTCTTGAAAATTAGGAATTGAACTGAATGAGGGAGAGGAGAAAGCAGCCAGACACACAGTGCCAGGACAGACCTATATGTGCAGCATTGGGCCTAGTGATATTTGATTGGGTGGAACCCTGGAGCCACGTGCTGCACTTTGAGCTTTGGGGCTTAATACAGAAAAATAATCAAATGTTTTGGTTTTTTATATTCTAGGGTATTTTTGTGGCCTGCATGACAGCCATCCTGAGGCAGATGGATGACTACCACTACAACCATTACATCAATACTTTCAAAACCAGGCAGGACATTATTGTAAGTCAGCTTGGCTAAGGGATTAGCTTAGTCCATGAGGAATTATTTTCTCCTTCTGAAAGGTCATTTCAAGTTACTGTATTCATTGTAGAGTGATGAGAATGCATTCATCAGCAATGACTTCTGTGTTCCTAGAGCTACAGCCAGTGGGGATATTTTCACATCACCGCTGCTGGACGTGAGCAGTTGGGTATGGGTATGGGTATGGATGTTGCTGAGACTTAAGTCTGAGATATTAGCATTGGTAGCATTGATAAAAACATGTTTAATAACTTTTCAGGTCCCTGCAAGTAAAAGGTCAGGAACCAAAGGAGAGAATGAAGATGTTCTCACTGTGTGACTTTTTGATTGTTTCTTTATCTACTTCTTTTTAGTTCATCCCACCTCCCAGCTTAATTAAGAGACTAGAAAGCTTTCAAGTGCATCTAAAGAAAAGCCAGCAATTTTCAAAATATATCTGCATTAATTTCTGAAAACCAGGAGGCCTTCTGTTAATGAAGTCCTATGGGATAATAGCTAAAACCCTAAAACTGAATTCTAATTTAAACCAGAATGTCTTGCTTTAGTGGGTGGCAGTGGAAGTAGTTCTCTCCCTGTTACATCTGTGTACAATTCGTCTTCTCAGAGACTTTCAGTATAAAACCAGGGGGCACATCAGGCTTTGATTTTGGGGGGGAGTTTTGGTTTTTGAGGACTTCAGAACCAACTGTTCTGACTAGGCTTGTCAGCCAACTGCTCTAGGAGAAGTCAGAACCAAAAGCAGGATTTATTCAAGTCTCCATAGCACAACGTGTCTTTGTGCTCCTAATTTTGCAACTTAAGGTGCTTGCTTATTGAGATACTGCCTGGGAAGGAGCCAGGAGTTGTGTTCTTCCTGTAAAAGATACATCAAAACCCACACAAAAAGGGCTGTAATTCATTTTGGATGGGAAGGTGATGCTTTGGTTCCCTGTGCAGCTGGAATTGCTTGCAATCTGTTGAGCAACATAGCCACCTACAGGACATGCACATTTCTGTCACTTCTGCACCCACGGGGCTGATAGTCAATAGGAGCATCCAGCATCTAGTTTTAGAGCTGCTTTTAATATATTTTGCAAATATATTTTATGAAGAGTTCATTAGAAAACAGAAATCAAGGTGCATCTTGTTTGGCCCTTTCAGCTCTGCATCTTCTGCTTGAAATGGAGTATTTCTTGTATGTTTCTGTGTGTTTATGTACAGCTTCTGCACAGAGACATATCAGGAGAGGGAATTTATGTAATTATTAAAGCTGCCTGAATATAATTTAAAGAGGTATTGATCCAAAATACCAACTTACAATTCCTGAATCTCAGAATTCTACAGAAGCAAGTCTCCATTTGTGATGATGTGCGAGTTGTTAATGCCAATACAAAGTTGCATTATTTTTGGTATTGCAATAATTGTTTCTCTTGCTTTCTGTTGCTTACTGTTGATTTTTACATGCTTTGTTCCTTTTCAGCCCTGGCGTAGCATCATGACTTGGTTGGTTTAACACAAATAAGTTAATTCATATCCTCAAGGTGCCCCTGGACAAGCCCAGACCTTTCAGTCAAGCTCTGATTTAATAACGCCTGGAGGGTTTTCACTGAGGCAGCACCAAATGCCCATTTCTCTCATCACATCCAAATTGCTTGCCAATTCTACAGAGCAAGCTGTTCAACCTCACAGAATGATTTTTTTTTGGGTGGTGTTCTTTGCAAGGTGGTGATTTCTTGTGTCACCTTTGTGTCCCTCTGTTTTTGAATGCTGATCTGTCTTTGCAGAGAACAGAATCTATTTAAATTTCCACAGTTAGCATTTTTGTCTGTAGAGACCACAATACAGAGAGATCAATATTATTGATATATATATCTCCTTTCACTCATCCTGTCTTTCTCCTTTTTTCTTATCCTTGCCTTGTCAAGGACTTCAGGTGTGCTGACATTGTTGGGGGCAGATTGACACTTGTGCAGACTGTATCTTTACTATGATAATATGCTAACCCATGCATCTGAAGCTCTGCTAATTACCTCTTTGTAACAGCATTTCTAAAATAAGACATGGTTGGAGAAACAAAAAATAAGTTCTGGGTTTCCATCTTTATAGAAGGTACTGCATAGAGCTGCTGTGCTGCTGTTATTCAGGCTTCTGGATACAAGTGCTCAAATGTTGGTTTTGCCTTTTCAATCCATCTTGTGCACCAGAACTCATTACAGCATGGCTTAATTTGGAACAGTAAAGGTAGATTTAATTAAACAGGAATAATTTCGCAGAACCTGATCTCCTTCTGCAATGGAATGGATGAGATGTCAGAAATAATTTAGTTATTGGAATATATTCCTGCAATGAGAGATCCTTCTTAGGAGGTACAGGGTATAGATAGGTAATCAATGCAGTAGTTAATCACTGCAGTTGCAAATGCTTACATTTCCCTATACTTCTGTGCAAATAAAAAGGCTTCTCATTTCAACCTGTGCTTTTTATTTTTCCAACAGGACTTCCTGATGGAAACATTCATTATGTTTAAGGACTTGATTGGAAAAAACGTCTATGCATCTGACTGGATGGTCATGAACATGATGCAGAGCAGGTATGAAGTGCTGCCATTTTAAGTCTGATTTGGAGTCATCTTCCTTCTGAAAGGAGGGTGGTTCCATGCTCACAGATTCAGTGTGCTGGCCTGCAAATCCAGATTCATTTCTGTCCTGTGATACGAAGTTTGTCATAGGGCTGCAGTGTGGAGGAGGACTTGGAGGTGACAAATTATTTGAATGCATCAGTGTTGAGGGTAGGCTGAGCTCTGGAGGAGGAATCATCTGGAACAGCACTGCATTCATACAGACTGAGCCAAAATGTGTTTTGTTTCTTCATCTGCCTCCAGCCGAGGTTAGAAACAGAGGAATAGCTTCTCCTCAGTGTCTCTTTACTGCAAAAGAATTTCTTCCCAAATCTCATTTGGAGACATGTGCTCTTTTCAACTGAGCTTATCTTTAGGAGACATGTAAACCCAGAATACAGCATTACTTTTTTTTTTTTTCCTCCAAAAGTCACCTTTTCTTTGATATTTTTACCTCTTTCAGGGTTTTCCTTCGGGCAGTGAACCAGTTTACCTCTGTGCTCAACCGCTTCTTCCTGGATCAAACAAATTTTGAACTCCAGGTAACAGTTCTGTTGTTTCTTGATTTTCTTTTGGACATCAGCATTTCCTGAGGGGCATGGAGAGCAAGCAAATCCCACTGCTGCCAGTGGAAAATGTCTGTAGAGTCAACTGAGTCACTGCATTCTGAATTACAGAGCAGTGGTTAGTGCAGCAGTGAGCACAAACCAATGCAACTGCTATAGGATTTATAAGGTCAAGCTGAGTGGTCTGTTGGCTAAAGCTGAATTGTGCTTGACTGGTTAAAATACTATGGGATGTCACTTATTGTCACTTCCTTAGGCTGGAAAGTCCAAGGTAAAAGGGGTGGTAGATTTTAAGTTGCTATGGGGTCTCTTTCAACCTAAGATTCTGTGTTGGCCAAGACAGACTCATCTGTGCTACTGCACTTATTTGTTGGTAACCTTCCTCGTTAACTGTGAGATCCACAGCATTTGGACCTGTGTGTCTCTGTTGTTTTGTTTGCTGCTTTTCCTTTGCAGCTTTTCCTTCTCCTATTTTGGACTTGTTTCTCTTCCACAGCTCTGGAATAACTATTTCCATTTGGCAGTGGCCTTTCTCACTCACGAATCCCTCCAGCTGGAGACCTTCTCACAAGCCAAGCGCAGCAAAATTATCAAGAAGTGAGTTTACACTTAAAAAGTTGCCAGACCTTTTTATTTTTAGGCATCAGCTTTGCAGAGGTAACTTCAATAAATAGGCCTTCATCTTTTTCTTCTGCTTCTTTCTAGGTACGGGGACATGAGGAAAGAAATTGGCTTCAAAATAAGGGATATGTGGTATAATCTGGGTGAGTTCCATTTAAGAAATTATCTTTGTTCAAGCTGTTAAGCTGGATTTCTTATAGCTTATTTCTTCATATAAGCTTTTTGTATTTAATGTGGGGAAATACATCTAAGTCCAGCTGTTCAAAAGGACAGAGTTCCTTTTCCTTTTTCACTGAGTGACCTTCAAAAGCTGATCCTTTTTGGCGTCCACTGATGAGATGATCTTCAAGACATTCCTTAAAACATAACAAAGGAAGTTCTACCATATGAATGCCAGGAGGAGAATTTCCCAGGGAGCCTTGTGATACGCATTATTCATGCAATTCAGTCCTGTTCTCTTTTTTTGGACTGTTTTTGAGTGTTGGAGTTGGAGCTGCAGCACATGAATGACAAAATATTACCAACAAAAATGCCTTCTAATTGAAATGTCAGAGTTCTATGGTATTTATTTTATTTGAGTAATGCTTTGCACATTTGAACATCCATGCATCACATGACTTCAAGCAACCATGTTCTGTTAGGATGTATCTGACATCACCTTTCTTGCAGGTCCCCACAAAATAAAGTTCATTCCAGCAATGGTGGGGCCAATCCTGGAGGTAACTTTGGTCCCAGAGCCTGAGCTGCGGAAAGCTACCATTCCCATCTTCTTTGATATGATGCAGTGCGAGTACAACTTCAGTGGGAACAGAAACTTTCATATGGTAAGGGAGCCCCATATGTTAAGGGCAAATGTTCTACTGTGCATTGGGCAAGAAGGAGAAGAGAAATATTTGAACAAAACCGAACAAACCAGAAGAAAACAAAACTACAAAAAAAAAAATCCAAACCACCAAACACACAAACATTGTGCTAAACACTTTGGAAGTAATTATTAAGTGGTTTTACCTTGCATGTCTTTAATAGTTAATAAACTCCTCTGTTTTAGTATCTTTATGTATTTGCAGATGGGAAGGGTTGTGAGTGCTGTTTCTCTCATTATGAAATGGGGAACAGTTACACAGAGCACAGACACAATTTGCTTTTACTTGAGGCTGTGCAAGTCAAAGGACAGAGCAGGGAACAGGACTTGTTCTCTGAGTTCCAACCCTGTGCTAATTCCTCTGGAAGTTCCCTTTTGTTGCTACTGAGAAAGCACCAGACAGAAAGGAAGAAAAAGAGGGTCTTCTCTTTAGGACTAAAGTTAACTTATCTCTGCAGTTTCAAAGGTCTTTTTCTTCCATTTTTCCTCTGGGGATATCAGACCTTAACGTCTCAGCTGGCAGACGGGGGACCCTCTAGTTATGCTGTAGACAGACTTCTCCCTGGAGATGGATAGGAGACATCCATCCAAGAGGCAGCCACCTTGGCATTTCAGATTGTTGTCAGATGTGATGTGCATCTCCCTGAGCACCAAACTCTGTCCAGTGCAGACCCCAGCTTCACTGTGTGTGTTGGGATCTTTCTTCCCTTGAGGTCATCAGTGTTTGGCATGGTTGGCCCCAGGGTCTCAGGGGTTTTTGGAATCAGTAGAAGGAAACTGGTTATTTGGCATGGATTTTCTGTATGTAAAATTTGTGATATTCTTCATCTTTTGGAACAGGAATGTTTTATACCTCAGTAATTGACTTATAGCTAAAGCTATGTACTTGACTTGCTTTATGTAGCAGAGCGTATCTTCATGGCTTATTCTTGTTGCATAAGAAGTTGCTTCAATTAGCAGTCACAGCTTTTATGTTGATCAGAGGTTGGTGACTGGCCCTTAACTGGTGGTAGTAGAGCAGTTTATTTAGGGTGAGTGAATCATCATTATCATCTATAGCTGGTCATTAAAGTTACTTTTCCTTCATGGCAAAACTGAACTGCTGATTGATGGGGAAGAAGGGAAGGCACTACCCAGAGCATCAGTTTCCAGTGTTTGTGGGATGAGAAGGGGAGAACTCGTATCTCCCTGCTCAATCCTTGTCTTCTTAGCATTTTTGTTCTGGTTAACAGTGAAAGCATTCTCTAGCTTGGCTTGTAAAACCAGTGCATAATGGTAGTTCAGAGCACCAGCCACAAGCATTGCTGATCATGCCTTATGGAGCTGCTGTCCACTTAACAGGTTTTTTTTGCCTTTTCAGTTTGAAAACGAGTTAATAACCAGACTGGACCAGGAAGTTGAGGGCGGCCGAGGGGATGAACAGTACAAAATTTTGCTGGAGAAACTGTAAGTTTTATAGTGAAGATGGAGGCTCTTTGTTTACAGTGTAGCTGGCTATTTTCTTAAAGCAAAGAAACAGAAAGCCTAATGTAATCAGTGGCTCCTAGTCCAGTTGGAAGCCTGTAACTAGTGGTGTTCCCCAGGAGTTGGTGCTGGATTGGATCTCGTTCAACATCCACATCAACGACCTGCATGAAGGGATGGAGTCCACCCTCAGCAGGTTTGCTGATGATGCAAAGCTGGAAAGAGTGACTGACACACCATCATTCAGCAAGACCAGGACAGACTAGAGGGTTGGGCAGAGACAAAGCTGCTGAGGTTCAACGTGAGCAAGTATAGAGTCTTACCTGGGGAGGAATAACTGTATGCATCAGTACAGGTCAGGGGCCGAGCTGCTGGAGAGGAACTCGATGGGGAAAAGGGCCTGGGTGTCCCAGTGGACAACAGGTTGACTTCCTTGTGGCCAGGAGGGCCAGTGACACCCTGGGGTCAGTCCACCCAGGCTCAGAGCTAACCCAGTCAGGGCCTTGAAGCACCAAGAGTAGAGCTTGACAAGATGAGCTTTGACCCGTCCAATTTGGATATCTGACCTGGACATGTTGCCTTTCATCTCATTGGATTTTGTCTGCAGCCTCCTGGAGCACTGTCGGAAGCATAAATATCTCTCTGCTTCTGGAGAAAAGTTTGCTTGGCTGGTCAGCAGCTTGTTGGAGAACCTGCTGGACTACAGAACAATCATGCATGATGAAAGCAAGGAGAACCGCATGAGCTGCACTGTCAACGTGCTGGTATGGGAAGGCTGGGTTTGGGTGGGGTGCAGCTTTAGTGACCTGGCTTTTGTGTTGTGGTCCTGGGGTGGATTGGGTGCTCAGTTTGCCATGCAGAGTAATTCACTGGACGAGTAATTTCTTTGTTGGTCTCTAGGAAGAAAACCATCAAGTAAGAGGCCACTAAAATAATTTTTTTAGGATTTTAAATAATATTTTCTGTTCCTTTTGGGTAATTGTGGGTCCAAATCAGGCTACCATCTATTGGCAGCTATAAAACATAGGTATATAACCCAAAAGCAAATCGTGTCTGTGCCTTGCTTATATGGTAACCTGAGGTCCTGAAATATGGGCAGGAAAAATGACTAGCTGATAGCTTGGGAGATGTGAGCTTCATTCCCTGCTCCACTGTGATGAATAATTGTGTACCTTTGGACGAGTTGCTTTCTGTTTTTCCCTTAGCCCCTTTTTTAGCTCCGTCTTATGTCAGGGGGATTTGAGGCGTATGTACCTCTTAGTGGCAAAGTGATAGCAAACATTTTTGAAATCTGAGATTGATCCATAAGTTACTTGTCTAGCAATGATTATGCAGATCCATGCACTGTTTCTTTCTCTACTTTTTGGCAGAATTTTTACAAAGAGAAGAAACGAGAGGACATTTATATCAGGTAGGCTGACTCCTTCCATAGACCTGCACAGAAGCCTTTACTTCCTCGTTTTTCATCACACTTACAAAGCAGTCCATCACATAAGGTAACAATTGCTTTTCATTCATTTAGATACCTGTATAAACTCCGGGATCTGCACACGGACTGTGAGAACTTCACTGAGGCCGCAAACACCCTCCTCCTCCATGCAGAGCTGCTCCAGGTAATGCACTGAAGGCAGTTTTAGTTTCCTTTATCAGAGGGTGGGTTTTAGAGGAAGTGCATGCAGAATAAAGAATGCACACTTTTTTTCTCCTTCTTCTATTTGTTCTTAAAGAGACTTTGCAAAAGTTAGGTTCCACTGGTTGCTAAGGAGCTTCCTAATGTTGCAAATTACGTAGCAGCTAAATGCAAAAGTATTATTAGCATCGATCTATTGCATGCATTTGGTGAACAGTAAACTGTAGAGAGCTGGGTGGAAATGCCCATGTCAAGGTACTGTTTCTTCCACTTCTGTGTGAACAGTAAGTGCATTAGCATGTCACTGCAATTTGGATTTAAGTCAACTTCAGTTAATCTATGGAAGATGTGAAGTAAAAGAGCAGACAAGTTCACTTAGTGTCTCAGTCTGGGACCTTAAGCCACAATCTCACACTTTTTGCAGATATATTGGGACTTAACATCATTGCAGAACTTTCTTGTCCTCTCTTAGCATTGATGACTGGTTTGTCATGAGTGCATCCATGCAGTAGGTTAGTGTGTCCAATGTGAAGATTTATTCGTCTGCATATATTCCAGTTCTTTCAGCTTTGCCTGTTTTCCTCTATGCTAGTGGTCTGAGAAGCCATGTGTCCCTCATCTGCTGCAGAGGGACAGCTACTACGTCTACTCACAACAGGAACTGAAGGAGAAGCTCTACCAAGAAATTATCTCCTTCTTTGACAGGGGCAAGGTGAGTTTCTGTGGTGTTCTGGGGGTTCAGTGGTGCTTAAATTGGTGAAAATAGCTGCCAGAAGTTGTTTGCAATGGGAATAACAAGCCGTGATGATTAAGGCCTGGCTTTTAAACAAACCAAGCTTTGGCATGAGCAGCAAACCTGTTTGTCTCATGTGTTTCAGTCCTGTTCCCTTGTTAGTTGAAGGGAACTAACTAGTTGTAAAATTAGTCCTATTCTCAATACTGTCTAGATGAGAAAACCAGAGGTATTTTCCTTTCTTTTCCTGGCTGGTGGCTTTTGTTACTGGTATGGTGGTTGTTTTTAGTTTTTTTTTTTTTTTGCATTGCAATAAATGTGGTTTATCTGGCTGATAGCAAACTTGTGTCAGTTGTCTTTTGGGTGGATGGTTCTATGAAGTCTAAATGAGACAGACCCAGGGAAGCCTGGTGAATGGATAATGCAGTGCAGGAGGAGAACACATGGGCTTCTCTAATTTACTGACTGACAAATGTGAAAAGCTGTGACTGTGGCAGTCATTGCAAAAAATGTACAACGTGGAGTCGAAGAGAACATTGGCAGTGCATTAAACTGCTGCGTGCATTAAAGTCAGCTGAATTTTTGTGTGACTTGCCTGTGGTGGTGAATGCTTTTAACTGAATCTTTTCTTTGTGCTCTTCTTCCCCTACTTCCCTCCCTTCATCTTTCTTGGAGATGTGGGAAAAAGCCATTCAGCTAAGCAAAGAGTTGGCTGACATGTATGAAAACAAGGTTTTCGATTACGAGGGACTCAGTAATGTCTTGGTAAGAACTTTTCCCTCTATTTTTTGCAGGCTGCTAATTGCTTAAATTAATATCATTGAGCAAGATAAGCCCCAGATAGAATTATGTCAAGAGCAAACTAACATATTGACCTTTCCAAAACCATAGGGTGTTTTAGAAGAATGTTTTCTTGAATGTTTTCTGTCTTTAACAGTATGTGGTTTTGACCTTGCAATTAGCATGACAATATTGTGTGAAGATGTTTAGCATCCTTAATGTTAATCAAATAAGCTAACGTTTGCATAGCGTGTTATCAGGCTCCATAAATTCATTGCCTTCTCATTCCTGCTGTAAAATTGCTGTGCATCAGCGCAGGCCTATAGAATGGCCTTGGTTCTGAATGACTTTTTCTAATTGCTAGGAATGTAACCAGATGGTCTTTATGTCTTTTCATATGAGAATCATCTGCCCGATATTATTTCTGCCAGTTCTCTGACATTTGTCACCATTTGTGTCTGCTCAGCTTTGGAATATGTTTACTTTTAATTTGTGTTGCACTGGTGAAAGATTCCAAGTATCCTTCTGGAATCCCAAAAAACATGGCATTGTTCTGCAGACCGGGAGACAGAGTTGATTGTGGCCCAGGCAGACCAAATATTTAACCAAGTAAATGGATAAATATTGTCTGTAAGGAAAAAAGAAATGGTAGGAAGTGTTCTGTAGGGGAGAGCTGGTAGATCAGCTCTTGTCACTGGGAATGCGAGCTGCAGCCTGCCAATGTCACTGAGCTCTCCAGAGTGAAAATGCTGACTTTTCTTTTTCAGAAAAAACGAGCTACTTTTTATGAAAACATTATGAAGGCAATGAGACCTCAACCAGAGTACTTTGCAGTTGGATACTACGGTCAGGGTTTCCCCTCTTTCCTCCGGGTAAGAGTTGTTCAGTACTCAACATCTGGAGTTGTGGGTACCCTAAAATCCAGAACTCCCCCAGGGGGATTCAGATGCCAAACTCTTTTTGTCCTTTGAATGCTACTGAGAGATAGGAACCCCTGAAGTATTTCAAAACTGTTCAGCATAGAAAAAAAGACAAGTTAGAGTCTGATTTTTTAAATTTTTTTTTTAATTAACTGCTTTATTAAAGTTGCTGTAATGCAGTTGGGTCTGTTAGATCGCTGTTGTGTTGACGTATGAGCTTAAACAGAGTCTACCTTTGGTATTAGTATCCTATAAGCTACTTCAGAATTATTGTTGCTGTTAGAAAATGTGCAGCTTGTAAAGAGCTTGCCCATCTCTTTTTAGTCTGAACTTTGTTTTAAGGACAGGGCTCGTTGCATTGCTCAAGCACATTAGTGAGAGTGTGGTCCCACGCAGAAGAATTAAAATGCAGAGATGCTTCCTGTTTGAGATTGCTGCTGAGCACTGCTGGATGTGTGCTAACTGTAACAGGAGAACCCAGCCAAAGTGAGTCAGATGGGCAGGGTGCAGCATACTAGAACATTTTCCCAACTATTACTTAAAATCAGGGAACATTTACATTTCATATGTTTCTACTGTTAAGCTAGAAGGAAATCTTCCATCTAAACCTCTGTCACCTCTTGATGCATGTTTGGAAAGCTCTTTCTCGGTGCTTTTGATGTTAATTCTGAGTGTTTTTTTTTCTGCTGCCCATAGAACAAAATTTTTATCTACCGTGGCAAGGAGTATGAACGGAGGGAAGACTTCAACCTGAAGCTCCTCACCCAGTTTCCTAGCGCTGAGAAGATGACCAGCACTGCCCCTCCAGGAGAGGAGATCAAATCTTCTCCTAAACAGTGTATCTTTTGGTTCTAAAATGCTTTGACACACATCTGTCTCCTTCCTGGAATTATAGAATTACTAAACAACAGATCAGTAAGCGAGGGATTTGCTATTCCAGGAGAACCTTGGAGCAGGTGCATGAAAATAAGATGATCCAAAACTGTAGTGGTCACCTTAGACAGGAGATGACTTGGTACTGTGAGAATTAAATGAGTTGCTGTTGGAGTGAGAGCTTTGCATGTTGCAGGGAAGGATTTCTTGTACCCATCTCTCAAGCAGGCAGTGCTGATTGCTGTGTGTGTGATCCACTTGGTGCGTCCAGGTGGAAGACATAAATTACAGGCAGTGAAGGTGGGAGGAGGGAGGTATGCTGTCTTCTTGCTTGCAGTTCACAAGCTTTTTTGAAATGCCTGTTTGTTTTTTTTTTCCTCCTATAAATTGCTTTGTAGGAAACATAAAATGATTTCTTTATTCTGATGAAAGCTGTTGGGTGAGCAGCCCTCCTTTTTCTTATTCCTTTGTGCTGGTTGAACAGAATGCTGCTGGGCATAAGATCTTCCTTCTCTTCTGAGCTTGCCCAAGTGCAATTGAGTGAAGATGCTTCAAACTCTTCTGTTTGTAACTTCTAGTCTGTGTCAGATATGCTCCTGGAAGACACATGTTAGTGAACACCAAGCTGCTAGGCTTCTGGCCTGTGTTGTACGGGCCAAGCTAGAGAATCTGATGGTCTGCTTTGGCCTTAAAACTCTGTGTACAAAGGCGCAACTCAAGTAGTGATACCAGATGCTTCCCTTGCACTAAGCCTGCCAAGCACTCAATCCACATAGGAAATTAAAATTCATTCAAGGCCAAACTTGGTATCAAAAAATGCCTTCTCTGTTGCTGCTTTGTTTCAGCTACTTCCTTTGCATCTGTTTGTGTTTGTTCTAATGGTTTTGGCTCGAGATGAACCTGAACTGCAAGATTTGGATCCAGATCTGAACTCTCCTGGAAGTTTGGGGGTGTTTGGTTCCGGGTCTTTGGCATGGCCCCATCGTAAAGGGGAGCAGCTGCATAGCTTGGATGTGGTACAGGTTCTTCTCGGACTCTTACAAACACCATCTGAAAAGATGAGAGGTTTGAGTGCCCAAATCACTGTTATATTAGGCAGGGCTTGAAGGTTCTGTAGTTAGTTTTAATTTCATGTTTGTTTGGTTTTATGCTGGAAACCTCCTTGGTCTCGGGCTCTTTTTAACTTTTGCTTGAAATCTATTCCCCTGCACTTATATGATATAATGCCCTGTGCTTCCTTTGGTTGTTTCATAACAGTGTACTGGAGCTAATTAAGCTGTTCACCATCTCAGGGAATGCCTACACACACAAACTGGCCACTCTTCCACCAGTCTGGAGCTAGAAGCTGTATAGAATGCTCAGCAATGGCATAAAGCCCAAGCTAATAAGCTCTCCTGAGAGAAGGAGTATATTAGCTTGGGCTCAGTGCTTGATCAACTGTAGCTGTGTGGTTTTGGTCAGGCTTGGCAAATATCCAGCTGGCTCTTCAAAGCGGGCAGAATGACCTTGCCTTCGCTTTTAGAATACCATATAGAAATATCCATGGTGGAATAAAGGATGTAAGGGGCTACCCTACCCACCAGTAAAATATTGCCTCTTCAGAGTAGGATTGGCAGAAATGGTCTGTTAATGTGAGCCAAACTCTCTGTACTTCACTTTTCCATACAGATTTTTACTGTCCTGGAAGAATAATTGGGCAGGTAGAGGGAAGAGATGGATGCATGCATTACAGGACCTTATACACAATCCTGTTCTCCTGTCCTTAAGATAGAAATCTTTAGCACCCAGGTTTCCCATGGATTTCACCAGGGGAATTTAGCTTGCTGGAAGCATTTATTTAGCCCTTATCTTTTTCAGGACTTTTAGTTTGTGGGTAGCATACTGACCACAACAAGCAATATGAATTCTGTTATTGTTGATCAACACCAAGTATTTCTCTTCAAACATGACAAGAGCACAGGGAATTATTGAGAAATCTGATGTTTCATGAAAACAGAAAGGACACTTTTCTCCCCCTTTCTCTTTTCCCTAAAGAATTTTTCATCCTTAACTGTAGCATCTCAGATGTGCAGTGCTTTATAGTGAAGCCTGTGATGAACCTGCCACCTCATTATAAAGACAAACCTGTTCCTGAGCAGATCTTAAAGTAATTTCTTTTCTCTCAACATATCCTCTGTATTTTTCTCAGTGCAGTCACAAGATGGAGTGTGTTTTTGTCTCTTGTAAACTCGTATCCTGTTCCAGTCTAAACTTAATTATTTTTGAGGGCAACAGGAGAATGGTGATGCGAGGAAGATGGGTGGTGAGAAAACTCACTATTGTCTCTGCTTCTTTGTAGCTACTACAGAGCAAACGAGGTACAGCAGTTCACACACTCACGACCATTCAGAAAAGGAGAAAAGGACCCAGAGAACGAATTTGCTGTGAGTCCTTTAGTTTTAGTACAGGCTGCCTCAGTTGTCAGTGCTATATGTGAACTGCTTTGTGCATTTGCTTATTCTGCCAGCAGCGTTTGGAACAGCACTGTAACCATTTTTCTTTCACCTGTGGCAATAGAGTTTGGCTGTCAAGGTGTAGGAGGAGCAAAGGGTTACGGTTCACGTTGGTTGCGATCTTTATGCAAAGATAATGGGATATATTGAGGTATTCTGTACCTGTGCTCAAATCCTTGATGTAGGATCCACAAATACTGTGTTTTTTAGCCATAACATTCTACGGAGTGTGGTCTGGTGTCTGCTGGTGCCTGCTATTGCCTGTGGGTGATGTAGCTGTCCTTAACGAGGCCAACATTTGACTATGAAGAATCAACTTCAGGCCAACTTTTTAGATGAATAGCTTATTTCCTTGCTGTCTGTGAGGCATTCTGTGGCTCACATGCAGTGGTTGGGCATATTGCATGCAGCTCTGGCTAAATGTACCATAATTGTGCCTCTAGTAGTGGTTTATGTGGAAGACAACTGCCTTCTGCTGCCTGTGTTGATACCATTTGTTGCCAAAACCCCAGTCAGTGAAAATGAATGTGTAAATCTTGCCAGCTTAGTGCTGGAAGCCCACGTTCCAGGCTGTAGTGCAGAAGAGGATTGAATTGCAAGACCAATGTTTTCTTTACGTCTTGTAATTTTTTCCTTCTAGACTATGTGGATAGAAAGGACAACCTACACGACAGCATATTCATTTCCAGGCATCCTCAAGTGGTTTGAAGTCAGACAGGTTTCAACGGTGAGTTCTGCACACAGAATGTTTTTCACCCTCTGTGATCTTTCGTGGAATGAAGTCTTGCCACACTCAGGACTGGCTGTTCCACCAGTGGCAGGGCACACCAGTCATTTGTCTTCTGCTTTCTCCCAGGAAGAGATCAGCCCATTGGAGAACGCCATAGAAACGATGGAGCTCACCAATGAGAAAATCAGCAACATTGTCCAACAGCACGTCTGGGACCGGAGCCTTCCTGTGCATCCTCTCTCCATGCTCCTCAATGGGATTGTGGACCCGGCGGTCATGGGGGGATACACCAACTATGAAAAGGTCTTTTCCACATTTATTGGTAGCTCAGTTTGACTTCCTCAGTGTTGGAGGTCTGGATTGAAGCATGGGACATCAAGGTGGAGTTTTCAGCAGTTACTCGGATGTAGTGTTGGGTGTTTCAGTGTTAAGTTTCAGTGATGTGTACTGCTGCTGAGTTAAGGAGTAGTCCTCCTCTTTGAGGCCATATTTACATTGGTGGTAACAATGTGGCCCTACCTTGTGGGAGCCTGGTGAGGTGCTTGGCAGTGCAAGAAACAGAAGCCAAATAGCTAACATTTCTCCATTAATACAGAATGGAAAGGTAAGTGAAGATTTTTCTGCCCAGCAAATCATCTCTCATTACAGCGTCGCAGAAAAGAGCAGGTATTTCAGGGGGAAAAAGAAGAAAAAAAGGAGAGGGAATGTTTCTCATCCATGTTTATTCAGTTATTCAGTTGACATGGTGTGTGTTCCTTCCTTCTGTGATGTTCACTTAAGCTGTTTATTCCCAATATTTAGCTATGATCTCCCAAGCAAGAAATGCATTGCTTATTTCACTGCACTGAATGGATGGTGTTAAAAGATGTTTAATTCTTCTCAAACGTGTTGCAGTCACACAAAATGAAGTGAAAAAGTTGAATAGGAGAGGGTCTGAAATATCTGGGGTATAACTGGAGCTGCATGCTTCACCAGTGGTGAATTTGGCCCTGAATCCTCCCATTTCATGAATTAAGGTTGACATAAAGTTTAGAATTACAAAAGTGGGAAAGCAGCTAAAACTAGGAAACACAAAGTATCTGTAACCACATCTGGAAATACTCATTTCTGGTTCACATTTTCCTATTTCAACTGGAGATCACTGCAGAACATTCGGCTTTTGTGGGCGGCTGAAAACTTAAGTTTTAATTGTTTCTTTGTAGCCAAAAGCCAAAGTCTGCATTTTTAACATGTGCCTTCTTGCAATAATTAAACACTTTCAAGAAAAATCCATTGGGACTTACCCAGCCATCCCTTCATGGCTCACCTCCTCTTGACATCCTACGCCGAATCCTACCTCTAGCCCTGCAAACACTTGTGCATGCAGTCCAGTTAATGGAGTGCAGAACTTAGAAACGCATGCAAAGGCTGAAATAGACCAGAGAGAGTGTTTTGAAACCAAGTGAAAAATTATTAGGGATTTTATCTAGGAAAAGAAAAATGAAATTCTTCTGACTGGGAACTGTGATACATTTCAGGGCGATGCTCTGCAGCACATAGTGTGAGTTGGCACAGTTTTAAGATTTCAGTTGAGGGAAGTCTATATGTGTTTGTTCAGCTTTTAAACCATTGCCAGATTCTGTTGGTCTGAAGGTAGATGCATGGGAAGTGTGGACTAAGGGTGCTGAACTACGAGTCAGCATCTCTGCAGTCTTATTTCTACTGACTCTTCGTAGCAAATCCCACGTGAAGTGTTGTACGTTGGGACTTAAATGCTAGATCTCAAGGAATCCATCGGGAACACTGTCCTGTTCACTTTCCTGAGACTCCAGTTATTTGCATATCTTTGTGTACTGTGGTCACTGAGTGCTAAAAACAGAGAACACACACTGAGGCTGATTCTGCTGCTCGTGTTTGGGTGGCAAGTAATATAGCTTTGATTATTCAAGCCAATACCAGCAGAGGGGAGTTTTGTAACTTAGGATTTTCACTGACAATACAATGAAATCTTCATTGAAGAGCTGGCTCTGCAAACAGCATCATGTCTAAATCATCTTCTCCCTTTGTTTCAGGCCTTTTTCACAGAGAAATATCTTCAAGAGCATCCTGAAGATCAAGATAAAATTGAACTGCTTAAGCAATTGATTGCTCTACAGGTACCACGTAGGCAAAGATAGAGATGCACTATGTATGAGTGCAGGTGTTTTTCCAGCTTTGTTTTTGAAGGGAGAAAATGCAACTAGATACTCTGAGAGCAATCTCTGTATGTGAAGAATTTATTTTTATTTTAAGAGCAGTTATATTCTAAAACTGTGGCCTAGGATGTTTCATGTAAACTTACAAAGCGTTTTTTTTTAACTTTTCCTGAAGTCATTAGGCCTAATGTTTTCTCAGTCTGACCATTGAAAGTTGTCTGTTTTCATCTGCATAGCAGTGAAAAATTGCCCTAAATTTGCAGATCTGTAAATGGCCCCACAGACCAATTTGTGTGTACCTCTGTTACAGCAGAGTGCAGTTAAAGCTGCTTCACACTCACACAGCTCTGAAGCTGAGTTGTGATGCCTGGATGTTTAACGTGCCTTATTTTCCAAAGCAGAATATGGGATCTGAGTATGGAAGAGGGAACCATTGGTGTAGATGGGGTTCACATTTCTTGGTAATACACACACATAATTAAATAGACTGCCAGGTTATTGTAGTATCACAAGTTATGAGTCAGTAACTGTGTACTTTGACTGCTTTTTTCTCCTGTGCAAACTTAAAACATACTGATTCAAGTCCTTTGCTTGTATCTGTATGACATGCATAGAAGATTTCTTGCTGGAGCAGGAGATCAGATTTGCCCTTTCATTTCCCTTTGTTGTTCCTGCTCTCAGATGCCATTGTTAGCAGAGGGAATAAGAATCCATGGCGAGAAGCTGACAGAGCAGCTGAAGCCTCTGCACGACAGACTGACAGCCTGCTTCAAAGAGCTGAAGAAGAAGGTGGAGAAGCAGTACGGTGTAATAACTTTGGTAAGCACAGTCTGATGTTTTGCCTCGAAGAAACACAACTCTGCCCATACAGCTTCTGAGTTCGCCTTGTGTGATTTGTCGTGGATGTGTTTCTCTGCAGCCTCCCTCCCTGACCGAAAGGAAACCAAGCAGGTCAGGCTCTGTCGTGTTGCCCTACATCATGTCTTCCACGCTGAGACGGCTCTCTGTCACATCTGTGGCCTCTTCTGTGGTCTCTACATCTTCCACGTCATCTGATAGCACTTCCTCCAGGCCAGGTTCAGATGGGTGAGTAGTCAGCCTTTGCGCAGGGAGATGCCTTTGCTAGAGTGGGTTTGTTTCTTTCAGAAGATGAGATTTGTCTAACTTCTAATTTTGTAATTAGAAGAACCTGCTCTAGTAGCAGACCTGGAGGTTGGTGGCTCTGCCTGTGGCTGGGGGCTGAAACTTGGTGATCGTTGGGGTCCCTTCCAACCCAGGCCGTTCTGTCGTTGTATGAATTAGTTACTCTTAAAATGAACGGCAGGTTTAATCATAAAATGCCTGTCTGGCTCCCTCTGCCAGTGGATTGCACTCTGCCTTTAGAAAAAGAATAAAACTCAAAATTGCTCAAGCAACTGAGGAGAACAAATTTTGCTGAAAATTCCGTGGTCCTAGTTCAGTTTTTCATGGTAATCTGTTCTGCAAAATAAGAGAGAATGGCTTTTTGACAGCACATGGAATGTCTGATGATGGAGTAATATTTTGTGTTTTTTCACTCCTTTGGGCTGAAGATCTATTCTGGAGCCTCTGTTGGAGAGAAGAATATCAACAGCTTCCAGAGCTGAAGAACTGCCCGTGAAAGAAGATGGTGATAACAGGATTTGTAAACTGAAGCGGAAGGAATGGAGTATCAGCAAGTCCCAAGTTATTGTGGAGAAGGAGCCAGAAATGGAACTGACTTCCAAAATGGTAATGCAACAACAAGAGAAGAATAGCAGTAATAAAATCCCAGCAGGAGATTTGTGTTTCCATTTCAGCCATGTTTGTCATTGGGAACTTCATTAAATAATGGGAGGGGTTCAAATACCAAAAGCTTGGTCATCTGAGTAATTCCTGCTTTTTTATTTGGAATATTTGTGTCACAGACCAAACTGCAGTTTGACTTAAAGTACAAAAACTGGAAGTATGTGGCACTGATGTTTCATCTCAGTTCTCTCATTTCTTCTAGGAGATGGAGGACTCCAGTACACTCAGAGCTGTGTAGAATTGTTCTGTTTGTATTGGAGCAAGCAGATATTGCTAGCCCACACAAAAATGCAGCTGGTAAGCCAGATGTTCAGCTGCTGTCAGTCAGCATCACTGCACAAATCAAATGTACTGCATCAGTTTGGTACTTTGGGGAGATGAAAAAAGATGGTATGCTAGTTAGGTCATTAGCTTGGCGCTTTGAGAAACAGGTTTTCCAAGTCTGCACTGTGCTCCAGACCTCCTGCATGAGAGCAGGAGTGTTTATTCCATGAGAAAAGTTTTTGCAAAACAGGAATAAAAGAGAATTATACCCCTACAGCTAAGACTGTGTTGCACTGTCAGAGAGTGTGCAGCAATGAGGCGTGTTGGTATTTAAGCTGGTGGCTCAGTGACAGTGATTTGACATAACACAAGTTGTATAAATAATAAAAACCCATCAGCTCTTCTGATTCCCTTTCCTTGACCAGATCTCAGCTGGATCTGGCACGGATGGTTGTTGCTATAGAATGAGGAATTCTCATCAAATCTGAGTGATGCTGCCAGCATATTTCTGAAGAAGGGGAAGCGTGGTTCTAGAATCTTGCCATTTGGTGTTGATAGGAAAATCCGGGATTGTAAATATTAGTGATTCCGAAGGCCTGGCCCTCTGCCTTTGGAAATGGTGCTGTTGAATTAAATGGGTTTAACCCACAAATCGTGAGGTCAGCTGCTGATTGCTTCATTAAGTAAAGCTAGATGGAAAGTTTCTGGCAGAAAGCCTGTTTTATTGACTGCTTCCCTGGGACAGTAAGGCATGTGTGTGCAAGACTTTGCTTTGCAGAGAGCTAAGAGATGCAAACCAGAACACCCACCCGCCCTTCTCACCAGCTCTCTGAGGGCATGTTGCATGTGTGATAAGCTCACTGAAGTATATGAGCAGTTAAGGGTTATACTCCTGCTGAAGAACGTTGCAAAGTATACAGAAAGCTTTTTTTAATAGCTAGTTTGTTCCATGTCTGCGTAGTGCAGCACAGGAATCAGGCAGAGTGATTTTATGCAGCTCTTGAATAAGCTGTGTGGGAGCCAGAAAGCCAGAGGGAACCAAAGGCTCACTGTATGTCCAGCAGCTTTGGGCTCTGTTCATTTTATATTCATTGCACACCAATGTGCACTCCTTAATGTGCAGTGAGAATTGCTCAGTGAGAATTGATCTCCAGGAGTTCAGTGAGTTTAATTACATGTGTAAGCATGACAGCCTTCTCTGTAAAGCAATAAATAATATTTAAAGAGGCTTGAATAAGTTCAGGACTCTGCAGCCCATGTTCAGAAAGAATAAATTTCACCTTTGTCTACTTGGCTGGAATGTCCTTTGGGCTGCTTCTGTGTTCAGGCATGCAGTGCTGTTAGGAAACCGGGGCACTGGGATTGAGGTGGAATTCAGATGGCCGAATGAAGCTTTTGATGTCTCTTGTCTTACTGACACTTTTAATTAATAGCATTGTGAGGAGGCCGGTTTGCTAATTGGAGGCACTCTGAGTCAAGCTGGCCAAAGCACCACCTATCACTGCAGTTACCACCAAGCTGAGTGTGGTGTTTGGTTGCCCACCTAAGGACCCCTGCACAGCTGTAGCACTTGGGACAGTTGGAGTGGCTCATTTTACCCCTTGGCATCAGTACGTGGATGTCATTACAGCCATTTAACAGTCAAGGCTTTGGGAAGAGGTCCTCAAAGATGCTGGGTGCCAGCTCCTCTTCCAACTGGCTGTAGGTTTCCTTCCCTGGCATCTTCCTTATTTACTGTATATATTGATGTCATTAAAAACAGTTTAATACTGCTACCCGTTTCCTGAGGTCCCAGAGAATTCTGAACGTGTCACAGGAGCACAGTGGATGCCTTTTGACATGGCTTAGCCAGAGCTGTGGTTTCACCTGAATGCACCTTTCTCTCTTACACACAGCTCTCCTGGAGCATCTTGGTGCCTTTGTGACAGGTCTGATGATCTGATACGTGTGCAGCAACTTTGCTGACTCCTAAAGGCTTTGTTTATTCTTTGTTTTAAGCAGAGCACGTCAGGAAAAGCTCAAAGGCCAAAGAGTCTTCAGTTAGGAGACAACAAGCTGACTTTGCTTCAGAGTTCTTCTCTCCAGCAGCCGACGCCTCTCAGCCCACCTCCCATCACTCCCAAAACCCCGAGAACCCACAGTAAGTTCTGTAATACAGCAATTGAGCCGTATGGGTTAATGTAACCTCACTGGGGAGGGGAAGAGGGAAGTAAATCAAGTGGGATGGTGACAACACGTGCTACTGGAACACCTGAAGTGAATCCACTGAAGGGAACTGCATCGATGCTGCTTGGTGGTTTTATTTGGCTTCTGAGCAGATCTCTGGCTGAATAGCACAACCCTGCAGGCTTTGTTAAACATTTTAAAGGAGATACTGCTCTGCAGCTTGGGCACTCACCTAGGTAATGTTGCACTTGTAGGAAGAGTTCATCTTGAAGAATTAACAAACTGAGTAATTAGCAGTTACCTCCGCTAGGCAGTGTCATTAATTCATATGCAACATATGAATAAATGAAGCAACATATGAATAAATGACCAAGGTAAAAATGCAGCTGTATTCTCACCACTGCTGGTTTCCTGCTGTTCTTGGTGTGAAGTTTCTCACTCTACCACTGCTCTGTTTCTTAAATGGATAGAAAATCGTATGTAGGATCTTCTTCTTATGTGGATATAAATTCAGAATCCAATGTTTCTGAATAACAAAGTGAAGAGATAAAACCTGTATGGGAGGTTTAAAACAAAAAGTACTTATTGGGGTAAGGGAGTAGGGAGGAGAGAACCAGGAACACAAACAAAAGTAGAAATACTACGTAAATAGAGATCTGTGAAAGGAATACAAAACCTCATGGCACGCAGTTTTAATTGCCATTAGTAGCAGGACAGCTTCCCAAGAATTCTTCTGAAATTTCAGTACTTATCTACCCCATCAACTGGAGTTAAAATCAAAGTGAATTCTCAGGTTGAGGCCCTGGCTGAAAGGAAACCCCAGTGAACATTGCAGATGTGATAATGGATTCAATTTTCTGTTCTCTCAGGCATGCATTTTTCACATAAGCTTAGATTCATTTGATGGAGATGGAATCCTTTGGGGCATTTTGAGATAAAACTTTGATTCTACTTTGACATCTCTTTTCAGATTTGGCTGCTAGAACAAATACATGGTCAATTCATTCTCCCACTCCTTTTCCTCCTACTTTAATGTCTTGTCTTACTCTTCTTCTAGGTTTTCCCTCATTGCAGTCGGATGGATTGCCAGCTGCTAGCCTGCAGAGCACCCCACCCCCACCTCCTCCCAAGAGCAAACCCTATGAGAATAGCAACCCAAGGAACTCTGTGGAGGTAAGGAAATGAGAGCTGACGTTTCTCTGGAAGGCAGCATTTGAGAAAGACACCAGTGAAATTTTCCAAGCTGCTTCTCAGATGGTGCTGCTTGGAACTTGTCTAGTCGTTTTTCTGATTCACCCCCTGAAACCACGGAAGAATAAGAAGTTTTGAGAGAGTGCTGTCAAATACGCCCCCATTTTCAGGTGGTGACTGTGCTATCCCTGATTAGGCAAACTGTGTGGGATGGGGAAGGGAAGAGTTTCCAAAACATGATCAACATGTAAAATAGTACAGTAATCTGGTTTACATACTGCCAGAGATGGATTTGTGGAGATATTCCACCCCATGCCTTGCACAGAATAAGTCAAGCACCCCGAATCTTTACACTGGCTTCTGTTTGTAGTCAAAACGTTTTCACTATATGCCTATGCATAACTCACACCTATTAAATATTCAAAGGATTATGTAAGAACAAGGTTATGTAGCATAGTTGAGTCTTCTGCTCTTGTGTGGGGCTCTTCTGTGGCCATCTGGGGATGTATCCCACTCCTTGCTTCATCCATAATTGGCACAAGGGCACTTAATCTCTTCCGATTGGTTCCTGTTCTGGATTTGTGCCTCATCTCAGGGATGTCTGTCCTTTTAGTTTCTTATTTATGGCATTCTTAGGTCTTCGAAGAGAAACATCCCCTCTTGGGAAGGTTTTTTATCGTAAGAAAAGCAACATATCTGAAACTCAAAGCAGAGCTTCAACCTTGAGTAAAATGCCTCAGCCAGGCAAAAATGTCAGATAATCAGCATTGGAGACATCCAGTGGACACAGTTATTTCAAAACCATTTCACCAGCTCCTGAAATGTTGCTGCTTCTGATAATGAGAGTAGTTGCTTACCACTGTGCAGCACAGTTCCTTTTGGAGCCCTGACAGCAATGTCTTTCCCAGTGCTACTGACAATTGTGGAGTACCTAAGTAACAAGATAAGGATTTTCACCAAAAGTAGTGAATTTGAAGAGTGATGACACTTCCCAAATACGTTACTTCCACATCACAGAATGACAGTGCAGCAGTTGATCATTTATTTCTCATTGACAATGGCATCAAGTTTTGAAATGTGGGATAAGTGGGATGTTTTCTGCTTCATTTGCAAATAGACTCTTTTTCTCAGAAGGGGCATTGGAACTGATGTAGGTGGTGTGGATGGCGGAAATGTGCCAGCCCTGTGGGAGTTGCTGGTTCAAGAGGATTAATGAAAGAGCCCCCTTCCCTTGAGTATTGTAAGAAAACTAATTACTAACATGCTCTGGCTCACAACGTTGACCTTGGCTTATAGCCAAATGGATGGATTTGAAGGGCTGTAAAGAGAGATTGTAGAAGTGTTTTCTGAGGCGTTTGGCTCCTTTTGCTGTTCATGTAAAGTTGAGCGTGTCCTCATTTGGTTAAAATAATCATGAAATCTTGGTGCTTTCAGCTAAACAAGGGGTGAACCACAGGAGTTTCTTCTTCACCTGGCCTTCATTTTTCGTGTGTTTCCAGGATATGCAAAGGGACAACTTGAAAGGACCCATTTTGAGTGGTTTTGTGCAAGAATTCCACAATTGGGCAGGAATTCTGTGGCTTGTTTTAGCAGAACTTTCTGTTTATGGAGTTAGTTGCACCATTCTGATTTGGAAGCATTTTACATCCCTTTGGTGTGTGGTGCAATTCACTGGGAGGTCAAGCCAGCAAGATAAAGATGGTTGAATCCTGAAACCCCGAGAAATGGGTTTATTTCCATTTTACTGATAAAACTTGGGACACTGGGCAAATAACTGGCTTGGTCAGGCTGTGGGTCTGAAGCAAGCAAAGCATATTTAACGGCTAAAGATTTCTCTAACAACTAAAACATGTCTGTTTTGTTACCTCTGGGGGATGTGTCCTTCTTTGCCCTTTCATTGATGGCATGAAGAACTGAAAGGATGAATTCAGAGATGTGATCCTGAAAGAACAATCAAGAAGCACAGGAGTTTTTGCTTTGCTTCTGTTTGGTCAAGCCAAATGTCTTTACTTGCCTGGTAATGGTTTGTTTTTCCTGTGTGTCTTCATTTTATCTTCTCAGGTTGCTCCACCACTACCGAGCAGACGTGAATCCAAACCTCCCCCTCCGCCCCCAAAAACCAGAAAATCCAGTGTCCTCTCATCAGAGCAAGGATTGCAGTGAGGATTATAGACTTGCTTGTTTAACAGCAAGTACCTAGAGAGAGATGGCTGCTTTCTCTTCACTGACGTGCTGGGGTTTTCTACCCTAAAGACTATTGATCTCAGTTGCCATTCCATTTACTTCCACTGAAGTTCTCCCTGGAAAATAGCAAAAGGAACTCTGAGAGTAACTATATTCCCAACCTCTGATTTACTTTTCCAATAATGAGACACTAATTACAGAAGGGAAGAAGTCAGCCTACTGGAATTCTTATATTAGCCTTGTCTGTCCTGAATTTTTTCGCTGATGCAATTTCAGCGGCTCATTCCTAATGTAAAACTATCACAGTAGTGATTTGAAGCCAGTGCTTCACCGAGGTAAACCACGCCAGTATGAGATGTGTTCTGCAGTATTTTCACATGGGTTCATTCCAGCTTTATGCTAAAGCACAAATCCCTCCTCCTGTTGCTGTAGTCAAGCCCTGATTTGCATGAAGTGAGACGGATCGCAGCCGTGCAGCGTCAGGTGTTGGTGTGTGATGTGTGGTCTCTTAAGATTCGTGATTGCAGGCAGAGACCTGAGCATTGTGAGCAGGATAAGAAACCTCTTTTCTGCTACTCATCATATGTATTGAAGATGAAGTGCAGACGTTCTGCCTTCCCCATTTCTGCTCAAGTGGTGGCAGTTGCTCACTCCCAGTGGAGAGTTTAGGTTTGCCAGTACTTAATCATAGTTTCACTGTTGGTTCTGGTTTTAACACTACGGAGCAGCTGATATCCCTTCCTTTGTTGTGTTGCTTACTTTATTTTGCACCTGGGACAAAGGCTTCGTCTTCATGCTTTTTAAATAGGGTGTAGAAAGTGACTTTTCTCCTGTGAATGTCTTAGAATGAATGGAGGTTGTGTTGATACCAGCACTGTATTGATACCAGCAACTTGGGGAGGATGGAGTGTGTACTGTAACACTTACTTTGGCTGACCAGATCCTCACAAATAGAAATAAATATCATCCTCCCTCTCCCCCACCCCATTTAGGGCAATACTTGCACTTTGTTTTGTAGCCTCCCTTGGTCTGAGTTGTTCACAGCCACTAGACTTTAAGGAACCACTTGGACCTGGGATTTGTGGAAGACTTGACAATCAACCACCACGCTTCCTGTTGCTTGGATTATTACAGCTCTGTAGCTTTTTTTGCCTTGGAGAACAAGATAATTATGTTATTTATAAGTATGTTATTAATCTGCTTAATTATTCTCTCTTAGTTATTTATTTCCTGCTCTCTCAGGATGTCAACAAGTCTTTTCATTTTATTTATTCTAAAGAAGAAAAATGTCCTGATCTTGGGTTTTAACCTTTAAAAATTCCTGCCTTTCCTCAGCTCAGATGGAGCACAAATATCTTTACTCCATGTGGCCCAGATGGGTTTTGTGCAGTGCTTAAGCTGGAAGGAAGTTTGATTGAAAGTTGTCTTGCAGCGTGCATTTCAGCACTGTTCTAGCACAGAATTACCTTGATCATCCCAGCAATAGCTTCAGCAACCCGTTCTTGCTGTGTGGAGCAGGACCTTCCTAAACTCTCCATTTCAGAACTCATTGCTTGTGAGGAACATCACTGTTACCTTTTCAAGCAGCATAATTATTTCTGATACACCCCCCCAGAGTTGTCGCTGCCACTTGGTGCCACATTTATTTCATCCAGCGAACAATATTGCTTGTTACCTGTCACTGTCATTAAGCTCCTGATTATTGGGTATAATTTATGGAGATGCATTTAAATCCCTGCTGGGGATGTTGCTCACAAGATACCATTTTTTTGTTTTGTTTTGCTGTGGCTTGTTTCTTTTCTTACAGCCCACTGCACCAATCTTCTGCTCACGTGACTTATGTGAGTTTTATTGCCTTACTGAAAAACTCAAGTTGTTTGAGATAGGCTTTAATTAGGTTTAAACTGATTTTCAGATAAAAAGAAAGAAACCCTATTCTGGCTTTGAGGACCAAAGTTGCCCTTTTGCTTGTTCTTATGTGTTCCTTTGCCTTCAGTGTGACTCCAGTTAAGGAAACCTGCAGGAGCTGCATTTATTTTGCTGTGTGTATGGCTCTGCAAACAGATTGCACTCATTAAAGGGTCAGATCGGATTCCCATCACAGCAGGATGGAGACGTCGGGGAAGTTGCACTGCAGTCACAGTTGTGCTCACAGCAGCTCACATGCAATTGTCTTCTGGGCTGTTGCCTTCTCAGGGGAAATCTTTGAAACCTTTCTGGACAACCTGAGCATGTTTCAGTGCCTCTGCTGTGTGTGTAGGACTTGTCAGCTCTGTGTTACATTCCTGACCACAGATGCTGCCTGACTGGAACACCACAGGGTTTTCTCATCCTTCATTTTTGTCCACTTCTCCCTCTTGTAAGCAGTATCTCCCTTCTGCTGCTGTTGCACAAACTGAAGGATCCTCTGAAGCTCTTCCCTTGAACAAGAACTTTTGTCTTCAGGTAGGGTGAGGTGTGAGTGATAGAAACCTATACCTTAACACCACCTTTTGTAATTCAGTGCCTTGCCTTTGTATCTGCCTGTTCCCTCATTCTGAGGTGCTTTTCCTTTCCAAAGGAGGTTTGCTTTTAACTCCTTTGGTAAGGCAGCAGGAAGCCCAGCTAGTGGCTTCTCATGGGCTGACAGCACAGTGATCTGGTTTGGTCGATTCGATTCTAAATGGCATTTGAGTCATAATTGCCTGCTTTTCTGATCTGTTTTATTAACTTGAACTTGGAGATGTACCTTGTGCAGCCAGTGGGTATTTTTCCTGCAGCAGGAAGCTGGTCCATGCAGAAAGGCCTGGGGGAAGCCTGACCTTGGGAATAGTTCCTCGGTGTCCCTTTATGCAATGCTTCTGAACTTGAGGATGTTTGGTTCTGCCTGCCAGTCAGTATTACTGATTGTGAAGAGTTCTGTTCTTACCTGATACAAGTCAGCAGAGCCTCCACAGAGCTACAGATGGGATTTCTGTGCTGTGCCCGAGTGACGTGAGCCTTTGTTTGGGCCAGTTTTGGAAAACAGCATTGTCCTCCGTGTTGGGTTTTTAAAAGCAATTGGGCATTTAAGGGTGTAAGCACAGGGCCTGGCTGGTTTTAATTAAGGAGAATTTAGTGCAAAATTCTACCAGACCTCTGATTTTAAAACTTTTTTTAACGAAAATGTTCTGCTCTTTGCTACAAGTTCTGATATTTAACCTTCAGAGACTGTTTAATATCTCACTAACTCATTTTCAAGATGAGAATCAGTGTTTCGCATCACTCAATGTCATTGAAAGCATAGGACTGAAAATAGGAGTCCAAGACTGATCCCTAATGGCGATCTCCACGCAGCAGAAGTGAAAGCAAACGGTGGCATTTGTGCCCAGCTCCTTGCTTGGGATGAGATCGAGTTCCATGTGCAGCCTGCGGAGGAGACGAGATCCGAATCCCATCTCAGATCCACGCTGTCCACAGCTAGTGGGGAATTTCAAGTCACAGAGAGGATCTTTTTTTTTCCCTTTGGAGAAATATGCTCAACACTTGCTTTCTGGAGCTTGTAATTAAAACTCGTCACGCTGTGATAAATTCCTTCAAAAATGTTACAGGCTCTAATCCGCATCAGGGAAGAGAGAATCAGACAGCTTTCCATTTCAGTGGATTATTGGATTAGGAAAGGACACCGATTCCACTGAGAACAGCTCTGTGATCTGCAGCAGCAGAAATGCCATCGTGTGCATGTAGCAGTTGTTGAGAACCTGTGTCCAGCCCCCACCACGCTGTGCAGCCCACGAGCAGCAGGTTGAACTTGCAGTGATAATGGCTCGGATTTCCTCTCCTTATTTATTTTTATAATTGTAAATGGAAATAAGAAGTTTTGAAATGTCTATAACTTAACTGTAACCTTTTTCTCAAATGTAAAAACATTCCTGACTACTACTGGCTACCATTATTATTTTTTTTTGTTTCTTTTAATTAAAAACTTCTCTATCTTATGTTTACCACTGCAGAGTACATTATCCAGTGGAATGGCATGAGCTTTTCCTGGGACTCAGTCAGGAAAATCAAACCACACATGGATGTGATTTCATTTCTTGCGCAGTAGGAGGTGGGCTGTTCAGAAGCACGTGAGGTTCACCCGATTCTGCTCCTGTTCATGTTCTCATTAATCTTCACAGTGCATTGCAGAGTGTATTTAACTGGTTTTGATGTGAGGATGGATATCCCAGTTGGAGCTGAGTGAGGTTCCTGGCGTGGTACAACCCCAGCATCCATGGTGTCAATGGATGTAGTCGTTCCCTGTTGGTATTGTAGAGATTTTAATGACATGAGGAACCACAGGACGTGTTTGTTTTGAGTTCAGGAGAACATGGGTGTTGTGTGACACGTCCTTGTTAACATTTAGAGATGCTGCGTGTGATGGTTTAGTTAGGAAACAGCCACCTCTACAGACTGCAAATCCTTTTTTCCTCTTTTCATCCTCTGCAGTTGAAGCAGCAGAAAGTATGGCTTTTAAACTGGCTCTGAAGGAAGGGTAGGAACTAAACGTGGGGAAAGGAGGCTGCATCTCTCTGGGTAAATGGCATAGGATTCACTGTAAAGCAAGGTGTATAATTTTTTTTTTTTTTAATGCATTAACTATTGTAAAGTTTGTAAATACCTTTTTAATATAAATGTAGTTTTTATGTGTGAACCAGTAAAAAAAAAATGAAGCATACAGAAGTCTTTCATGTGTGGTCTACTGATGTGTGAGCAGAATTCCATTCCAGCAGTAAAATTATTTGTAATTCGTAATGAAGTTGTACTACTGTTGAGATCAGGCAATGCCCAGACAAAAGCGGTCATTATGGAATGCAGAGCCGACCCCACAGAGCTGATTCCCCTCCACTGGACTGCAACGTGTTTTCTTTTACCTACAAGCAAGTCAGCTGGACAGTGGTATCCTCCACTATTCCCCACTGATTTCACAGTATTTATTCACGTATTGCAATCAAAGCAGAGGCAGGAGGAACTGTTTTCAACATTGCTTTGAAATTTTATTCTGGGAGTGTTGTTGCCTTTGTGGATTTAAATCTTCTTTCTTCTGGCTTCTCCTTCGATCAGGCTTGCCTGTAAGCACACACCATATATTATTTTAAAAGAGAAGAAAGAACTTTGATGATGGAATTTTAAAGCCTGCTCAGATGCTAACATATTCCTACTGAGGTCTCCATTGGAAGGAGGATTAGAATGACATAAATCTGACCCGACGTGATCTCTCTGCCACCTGCCCATGGATCTGATCATGCAGTATAATGTAACTGACACTTAGAATAGCCCTTTTCATCCCAAAGTGCGTGACCAGCTTTACATCTGTTAGGGGGCCCATCGCCACAGCAGCTCTTAGAGGGCAGCCCAGCAGCTGCAGAACACTCCATTTTGGCATGAATTTACACAAAGCATCACTATGCAAAATGTGTCCGTCAACTTAAGCAGCTGGCCAAGATACCAAGGGGAAGAAAGCTGTGCTTGCAGAAGTGTTACAGGGTGGGACAGTTGTCCCGTTCCCATCTCTGTATACATTAGTTCTTTTTGAATGGAAACAGAACTCCTGTGTCACATCCTGCTCGACCTGGTCTCTTATTTGTGCATCTATTTATGTTGTTCCCTTGGAACTGAGAGCCCAAGGTGTTTTGGGTGGAAGTTCTCGGTATATTATTCTTTCCCTTTTGTATCTCAGCTCATTGTATTTCTGTCCTCACTACTGGCAGCTCCAGGAAGTGATGAAGGCAACCTGCAAAGCTGTTTCCATGGGCTGGTTCGTTTCCTGACACCTTCCCTCTCATTGCATAATGCTCCTGTGTCAACTTCAGCAGTGTGTTAACATTGGAAAACCTACATCTGGAAAAGCTTTAATTTGTTTTCAGCATCATTAAGCAGCTAGAAGTAAGAAAGCCACACATTTCAGTTTATACCACAGGAACAAGGTATGCCAGGCGTGTGCTTGAGCGTGTATTCAGAGGCGAGAGTTATGTAATTGAAATTTTTTTGTTTGGGCTTCAAATATTAATTGTAGAGGGAGAGTTGCAACTTTAGGACAACTCAGAGATATTTCCCAGAAAGTGAGGACCATCTGGGCAGGTCAAGGTGCTGCTGTATTGTTTGAAGAACACTCTTCTGCTTGAGAGTGTTGTTTCTGTGGCAGATCGTGTGTATGTGAAGTCTCTGCTGTCACTGCATTAGAGCATCTAATGGAAAATACATTTCCCAGTCCAGGGACCTTGGGAGCAGCACTTCCATATGGCTCAATCCTTCAGCTGGCAAAGCGTGCCTTTGAAGTTAAGCATCTGCGAATGCTGCCTACATTTGTATGAAGGAAGTACGTGCTTGACTTTATTTTGGTTTTAATTCAGTAAGTAATGACATAGTTACAGCAGGAGCATCAGGATTAATGTGGTCATATTCTAGCACCATAACTTGGACATACTGAGAGTGATGCAAAGCTGGGGTTGCCACATGTGAACTAAGCTTTCCTGCCTCTTCTACCCCACCACTCGCACCCCTGCACCCCGTGCTTTGCCAGCCTGGACTGGTCTGAGATTTTCCCACAGCAATTAGAGAAAAACCACGCTACTTACCACGGTTTCCTTCAGATTGCTCAGCCTGGGATGCTGGTATGATCCAGGGCATTCAACCTTCTGTGCTTCCCCAAGATTTTCCATTTCATTTGCAATCTGAATGGGGAATAAACACAGCCTTCATGAAAACAGATTCTTCTCCGAAGGCAAATCTCCCCAGGTTAAAGCCAAAGTTTCTACTGCACAGTTGCGTTTACTTCTTTCCTACATGTTACACTTGCTATAACAGCTGTAGAATGTTGGAATTGTGGTTACAAGGGAGTACGTGTGAAATATTAGAAAGCATCAGAAAAGCCATTGGTGGACAGAACCTTTCCCATCTGCTCTGTGGTTTGAGTCCTTCAGTGAAGCACTTGCCATCGAATCCCGCACCAGCTGCCATTGCCACATTCTCATGGAGATGGATGGATGTTGTCACAAAGCAGCTGATCAGAAGGGCAGCTCAAACAAGGGGTGGTGAAGTCAGGTTTGACCTGGAATCAGGCTTCCATCCCTCCTTTAGAGCAAACTGACGAAGCTTTCTGTCTGTCACAGAAGCACTGCTGTGTGCGCAAGGCTCTCTGTCGCTGTACCACCACAGCACGGTCTGCTCCCCAGTTCCTACTTGACACAAAGTCTACACGTGTGTTGTATAATGCACACCAGTGTGCTGAGAGAGAGACTCCTGTATAGTCTGTCACCTCTGGTAGTGCCACGAGGCTTTTTGCTTGCATCTAGTACAGAAAAGGGATCGGAGCAAAAGCAAGAGCTGTTTTACAGTCCTGAACTTACCTCTCGAAATGATTCCACCAGATTTTCGGCATTCCTTTTTCCTCCTGGTTGCAGGCCATAAGACCAGTGTTGAGCCAAGCAGATTGCCACAGACGTGGTAAACAGGAGGACACCAGCCAGGATCTTCCTGGACTTCTCCATTCTGCGATGAGAGAACAAAGCATATTTCCGATCCTGCATCATCACAGCTCAATTTTTATCTTACAGAATCACCCCGGTGGCACTGTGCCTACGCGTGGGTCACAGCTGGGTTCTGAGCCCCTCAGAGCATGGATCAACTCATCACAAAGAGATTTGACATCTGAGACATTTGGATAGAGATCTAAATTAGGATTTTTGAGCGCCCTTTCAGAGCTTTAGGAACCCCTGGACCTCGAAGGTTCAGTGAAAATCCATGTTGATATTTGACAGACAGGTTTGGTGTAGCCAGTTTCTGTTCTAAGAAGTGCTCTTTGCAGTGCCTTCTAATGCAAGTTCCTTCCAGTGCAAGCATCTGTAAGGACTGAAAAGTTGAAATGGACATGGCTGTTCAAGTACATTACCTGCTTGCAGAGAGAGGCTGCAGAACTGCTCCAACGCTTCCCTGCTGGAAAATGTCCTGTGAGTTGGCTTCTTGTCTCCCTTTATATCCAGCCACCCCACCACCAAACCCTTCACAGCAGGTAACGCTGCCTCATTCTATCCTACGGACTGCAATTTTGTTCTTAAAGTTGCTGTCGTGTACTAAAGAAGTAAAGCACATAATTGGAGCAGCTGGGTGTAGCTGTTACCTACAGCTGTTTTCTCTTAGAGCCATGAAAGTTACAGCTTTCCTTTTAAGAGGCTGTAAACCTGATGTTCAAACCTAGCTGGCTGCTGTTGCCCCATGGAAAATAAACAGACGGTCTTTCAGTGGCTTCTGGTTTTTTAGCAATAAGCAAAAGCTCTTCTGTGGGTTTGATTTTCTGAAGAGTTCCTTACAGGAGTTGAAATGGATGAGGAATTCAGTTTATTCTGTCTGTATCAGAAGGAAACAGACCTTCAGTGCATAAACAAGAGGTTGCACCAGCACGTGGCATTTTGCATGCTCTTCTGCAAGTCCTTAATGCTTAAATAAAATGCCTTCGTGTTCTGTGCTCTACAAAATGCAAAGCAGTACTAAATGGATCAAATAGACTCGATGATGAGGTTGTGAGTGCTGAGGAAGGGGCTCTCTTGCTTGAATAGGACCCTCTGTATACATGTAATGGAGAATCCTGTTCATATGGATATATGTGTCTATACAGATGCACACATACATGGGTGTGTGAAGTTAGGCATTAACGCTTATGGAGCTTTTTGTTGAGACTTCATGCACTGCAGCTTTTGAAGAGGTCGTGGTCGCCATCTGCATTCAGAAGTCAAATTCAATAATTTTGATGGCAGAAACCTGGTTTTTTTTATCCACCTGGCCACTGTTCCGACTTGCTCTGCACTGGTTTATGTGCAATTGGGTGTATCATGTTTAGTGGTGTTTAAACATCCTCTCTTCCTGCCCCTGTGACCTCTTTGAAATTAATGGATTAAATGTAATTTAATAAGTAAATAGTTGAAGGAGGATTTAGTGACTGCAGCAAAGAGCAATTCTTCCTGCTGTAATGCTCCTACTCACAGCAAGAGGAGCCAGCAGCAGTTCAGCTGATAAACTGATCAAGCTGTGAAAATAGTTGGTTTCAGTGGGAGAAAGGTTACCTTAGCGTAGGCAGATCACTTGAGAAGGGAGATTTTCTGTTTTATGACTGCTTCCTTCCCTGCTCTTCCTAGCAGAAATTAACATTAAATTGAAATGGAAGATTTTGCTCATCCTGAAAGATAGCATTTAAAGAAGGGAAGGGGCCTGCTTAGCCAGGTAATTGCACCTCTTATTCACCCACCATCTGAAGCCAAGTCTGCCAACCTGCCTTCGCTGGCTGCCAGCAGCTGTGCTCCTCAGTGGGGCTCCTTAGAGCTGCTCCTGCAGCACAGCAGAAGGAAGCACAGTGGTGAGCAAACTGTTCTCGTCTCATGTTCAACTCTGGGCCCAAGTTACATAAAGGAGGTGGGAGGCTGGGGAGAAGACTACAGCTGGTTCTGGTTGCCCACAAATATTTCCACAGCCCCACGTAAAGGAAACCAGCAAAGGACTCCGATTGTGGCAGAGGTGGAGCCCACGTGGAAGGCTGATCCAAGGTCTGGGAGAGCTTCAGTCAGAACAAATCAAAGAGTAGAGCAGGGTTTTGCACGTCAGCTGTCTTTTCTAACTTCTTGTCCTTCTAAGTGAAATTAAGTAAGACAAAGACACCTGTGTATTTCCCATTTTTATTAATGCAATTTGAATTAGGCTGGAACCTGCATGTTCTGAATACGCCACTGGAGGCTGTTCGTACAGCTCTGTCATAGCAAAAGAGGTACCTTAAATTCATCTGCAAATGAATGATGCCCCATGCAGTGATTATTTAAAACATAGTACTTCAGTGAAAGTTCAAATATATTTTATACACAGTGATTATGAAAATATATTTTCCCATACAATATTTTACTTCTAGCTACAAAATATGATAAAGAAAAATAATTCATTTGTTTCTCTAGCCCTAGGAATCTTCTTTCTGCAACACATCAATCAGTGAAAGTGATGAGGTGGGAGACAGGACTCCAAAAATCACAAAGCATTTCCCTATGGATGTTTTTGACCAAGGATAGGGTGTTATCCTAGAGCCAAATTAAAGAGGCCAGGGAATCCAGAAAAGAAATCCCAATTCGGAACCACAGGGCTGTAGGATTTTGAGTCCTGGAAGTTCACATGATATGCCTGAGTATCATCAAACTCAACTTGATAAGAATCCCACACTTCCCCAAACACATCATAAACTGTTCCTAAACTAATCTTTCTAGACTGATGGCAAAGCAGCATTTTCATAGCAACCACTGAGACAACAAATACAACTTCAGAGGATGGGAAATTCTGCACTGCATGTAAGAGACAACGCACCAAAGTAACTGGGACTCAAACCACTGCTAACAGATCGTGTTCTGTGTTAGGATACATCTGTTCTGGACTTCAGTAACAGTTCTATTTTCATAGATTCAATGTTAGTTTCAACTTTGGGGTACTGTAAAGAAGCGTCTGAGGTAAGAGTTCTTGATGCACCTTTTTTGGTATAGGTTATGTGCTTTTTGATTGTGTACAAAATAAACATTAGATGAGAACTCAGCTTGATACTGCAGTGGAAACAGCTTATGAGACGAAGTGCATCACCACCTAAAGAAGTGCTGTGAGACTTTCTGCACTCCAGAAGTCACGTAATTCCATATTTGACTCACATGTAAAGCAGCTGTGGAAAGGGCACTCCACCCATCCACAGAGGCTTTCACAGCCACTTTTAAGCAGGCCCAAAGTGGTATACTGACATCTGGCTGGGGAAAGGATTTTGCCCATGTGGTCAAGGATGCAGTGTACAACAGTATTTGCATAGTACATGGAAGGGAAACAAGTGCCATTTACTCATATACTGGAGGCATGGCAGGGGAGAAAGGAGTGGGTGCTATGGCTGCAGCGCTCATCTCTGGTGACAGTGGATTGGATTCTCCTATGTCCATTTAATCCCCCACCAAGAACAAAGAAAACGTACAGGTACTCCAGGTTGGGAATGGACAGGACATTTGAAAGCAAGAGAATGTTTCCTTAGCAGCTGTAGTTGATAGTGCAATCGTGTGCTAATTTGGAAAAGATTAAAAATGCAATCCCAGTTTTAAACAAGGATGGTTTTGTTATAACCAGATCTGCTGTGTATGCAGATCCCTTCAGTGGAAGCAGCTTCCACAGCACATTTAGAAGATAATAAAGCTGTTCTATACCTGAATCCTAACTACTACAAGGCAATATATTACCTATGATGACAGTTAACTACTGTTTTCAACGTAGTACCTGAAAACATCGTGTGGACATTACCTAAACCACATTCCACTTAATGTACTGTGCATGAATGAAGAAACTAGTGTATTTACAGTTAGTCTAACTGTAAACCTGATCTTTGATGCTACTATACATGAAAAACATCTTCTATTCATATTGCAGCTACAGATTTAATAAATAGAATTGCATATATTGTGCTTTATAAATTAAAATGAATTCCAAAGTGAGGCAATGTTTGTCAACAAAAAGCCACGCATGCTGATCCTAGAACCAGTCCACTTCCTCACTCTGTTTTCAGAGGTAGAAACAGCATTTATCTATTTCTACCTTTTCAGTTAAAGCTCCCTCCCCAAAAAGCAATCAAAATAGTTTACTTAGGCACTACTGCAAATATAAGTTGTCTAATAACCAATGCTTCTAACTTAATGAGGGGAGGACATGAAGAAAGTCACCATGTTTTGACTCCTTTGTCTTTAGCATGTTCTCTTCCTTATCTGACGCTCTGAGACATGTGCAAAGGTGTCAGCATCTCTTCAAAAATAGCTCCTTTCACGTTAGATCCCCTCAAATTAGCTTCTTGTAGATCACAACCTGAAAGATCACAGTTCTAAAGGGTAAAAGAGATCGAGTATTAGTTGAATGCACACAGAACTCAGGGTTCAAAACTTTTAATGCATTTATGCAGAAGCCACATATGCTTCTGTAACTTCAACGTCCTTACTTTGTCACAAGATACAACTAAAACTACAGTAAGGCAGTGACTGCTTTTCACAGTAACAACTGGATTTGGTTTTGCCAAATGCCAGCAATCCCCAGAATTCTATCAGTTGACCATTTAGCTTATAAAAGCAATTGTAACTCACTTCCAAATCAGTTCCTGCTAAAGTTGCTCCTCTAAGATTACAGTTCTTTAGTTTGGCATTTTTCAGTGTTGCAACTCTGAGATTAATTCCTGTCATTTGACTGCCTTCCATGTCAACACCTTTCAGGTTAGCACCTGGAACACAAAAGTACTTTTACAAAGGAAGAACAGTTCCAGAGAAATGCTTTTTCAGTGCCATGTAAATTGGTATCTACATGTAATGATTCTGCAGTTGCACTCAGTCTTATGTACATATATAGCTCTTCTAATGTAAAGATGAATTGTGCAAACCACAGCTCAATCTTGTACATAACATATGGATCTTAAAACACATGCAACTCAGTTTCCAAGAAATACTTAACACACAAAAACCTCTTACCTTCCAAATTAGCTTTAATGCCTGATGGGTCTTCAAAATTGCACCCTTTTAGAGATGCTCCTTCTGCATTGGAACACAACATCTTCACCCCCTGGAGGTTTGCACACTGATAGAGATAAATGCATCAGTGAAATTCATGCAAGTGCAGAACTGAACAACGCCAGAAGTAGTCAGACTGTAGCCTTCATTTATGTTTAGGAAGTGAATCTACTAAAGCACAACAGCCTTACTGTTTCAAGGCAGTGTAAGAACTTGGCGTTACTTCATTGGGACAACAGGTTGGAATTACCTGCTGTTCCACACCCTCCTTCTCCTCCCCTCTCCCCAACTTATCCTAATTCCTCTTAAGATAAGAGGACAGCCCAAACCTTCCACAGCACAATTCTTACATCGAGCACCGAACCAGAGAGGTCAGCTCTTTCAAGATTTGCACAACATAAGTTGGCATGTGCGAGGTTGCAGCGGCTTAGGTTAGCCATCTTGAAGTTGATGTACCGAAGATCTAGTCGTGAAAGATCTGCTCCGCTGAAATTGAGACCCTAAAACCAAAACCAACCCCAAAAGTCACAGAAGGTAAGGCGCAGCTCTGAATACAGAACAGTTCAGAGCATCATTTCTTACATGCAAAGATACGTGCATGCACAACAAGAGCACCTATGCTATTACATAAGATTAAAGCTAATGCAAAGCTGTAAAGCACTGACTTCAGTTATTAGAGTGCATCCTACATTTAAATAGAACAGCTCAACAAACTGATCTGAAGTAAAGCAGCCCAAACACTGCACTCAAATTTCATACTAAAGTTACTCTGCTGCTTGGAATCAAAGCTCAGTTAAAAAGAGGAAGGCAGGGGTGGGGAAGCACACTCTTGAATTTCACATCACCACATGATGCTGCAGGGCATCCCAGCACCTGACACCAACACAACAGACCGAGGCACACTTTGCATTTCCACACCTGGCATCGCAGCTCAGACTTGGTTGGGGTTGCCAGCAGGAATCGCACAAACTCTTTTCGAGATATAGGAGAGTGGTCCTCTGCTGGCTGTGAGTTCTGTTGAGAGAGTTGTTTAGAAGCTAATACGGATAGGACTAAATTATGTATTGCCTGGAAGAGCAGGACATGCACATCATGTATAAAAGCAAGCAAGTTACCTTAATAGCTATTTCTAGATGTTCAATTAATGAATCGATACCAAAAAACCTGGCTTCTTCCAAAACACCTAACAAAACAAAGCAGTTATTTGTTATTTACACAGAGCCTTTAAATGAGATACCACTCTTCCCTTGTTGGAAAAGGCAATGCACAGCCACGCCAAGAACATAAGCTTCAGGTTAATCCAACCTTGCTATCAGAAGACTGCCAATTCAACTGACTTCCCCTGTTTGTCATAACTCTCTTTTAGCTACAGTAACCAACAGATGAACAGAGCATCTGCTGAACCTTAGGAAATGCCTAACAAATGCATGAGCTAATAGAACTGTCAGCCATGCACATCGTATTACACTGCAATGGGACAGAGGAAAAGCGAGCTTCCAGTCAAGGAGAAAAAATGAATCTCAAATACAGATATTAAGATACCAAATCCAGGGCACCGTTTGAGAATAAATTCTCCACAGTAAAACACCAAACATTTAGATAAGCAGACACAAACCCCAGTGATTTTATCACATTTACCTCAGGACAAAGTTAGACCTTTAAAGAATATTAATGTAGGAGGTGTCGTACAGGTAACACCTACCGAGCAGATTGATGCCATCGTTTACAATGAGCTGCCCGTGACGCAAGTAGTTCAAAATAGGCTCAAAATACTCTGGGCTGCGGTCAATTAGGAATGCTCCTCTGTGATCTTGCTTATTTCCCCAAGCATCTGTTGCCACAAAATACACATAATTAAATCTGAAAGCGTTTGCTTCAAGTTTCAGATTGTTACCACCAAGGGGTTACAGGATTGAAGCCTCTCACATGAAAGGGCATTTCTTAGAAAGAAGGAAGGAAAACAGGAGTGGAGGGGAAAACCTCCCTTACATCCATCCTGCTATAAA